AGGGGAGTCACTCTGTGTGCTCTCATAGAGATCTAAAGGTCTCTGGTTGAAGTCAGCAACTGCTCTTCTTGTGTATTCAACTGGGACAAAAATACAAGTTAATATATAGCACAGTGTTTCAGAAGAAACATTTGAGGTGTTAATCAATATTTGCATGAAGACTCATTGGCATGTTAAGGCAAGACTTTTGTTATAGCTTGCTTTGCAAACTTATAGTTTTTAAAGATCGTCAGAGGAGGGTAGAAAGAAAATAAAAATAAAATTGTGGTTGCTTATTTAGCAAATGGTTTCTGACAAAAACATCCAGACGGAGGAGAAAATGAAAATAAAATTTCTAAAAAATTTTGTGGTGGCAGGTGTGCTATTGGCCAAAATTGCCAGATTTTTATTTGAATTCATCGTTATCGGCAGGCAGCGGGTTCGCTAAAGAAGGTATTAAAAAAAAGTCTTGTCTACATAGTTCTGTTCAGGCAGCATAGAGAAGAGCAGGGAATTTTCCTGAGGGTCATTAGGCCGACCAGCCCTCCTTAAACTAACGCTACGTTATCTCACTATATTAATTGGATTAACACATTATCAATTATGGGTAAACGGATTAGTTGCCTTTTTTATGAGGTTTTAAATATTCTTCACCGCCGAAAGTGCGGTATTCTAACGTTAGTTTAAGGAGGGCTGGTCAGTCTAATATATATAGGCCATTACCACCTAGTACGTAGTAATATACTGCACTAGTTTAGTGGTTGTTTTTTGTCCTCCATACTCTGATTAAGATGTCCTTAAACAACAATTAGAAAATTACGTTTAGGTAAAGACCTTACATCTAATAGAAAATATTGTAAACATAATTGAAATGGAATGGTTGATTATTTTTTATTCACTATGTCTACTTTAATTTTGTTATTTAATCACACCAGCCTTGAATATGCTTATGTAATCAGTATAGAGGGCAGTATTCTATTACTAACATGGTATTGAGTTTCCTTCTAAATGTCCCCAAAATGATAGTGATTAAGAATTTTATATATGTGATTAACCTGGCTGATAATATATATGTATGGTATTAATACAATAATTCTCATTATTAGAAATAATTCTAATGTTTTATTCATTTATCTGATATCCGAAAGAAATGAAAAGCAACAAATACAAAACAAAAGAGATAAAAGTTATGGTATCTGGGATAACCCTCTAAGTTCTAACAAAGGATTTATTTCCCAAGGAGGCCTAAAGACTCAAAAACAGATGACACCATAAAACCTGTATTGCTCTAGTTACTTGTTCATAAACATTGTGCATTTAAATACTTTTTATATCATTTTTTAAGTGTATATTTCATCTTTTTCATGTAAATTGTATTTTTAATGCCAAACAAATCAATCAATAAATCATGTCAAACTTGGACACACTAAAGTGATTCTGATGCCTGTGAAAATACACGACAACAATTGAGAAACTAAGTAGTCTATAACCCAGAATCAACGTAGCAGAACAAGAATAGACAACAGCAAAGTTCAATTAAATGACATATTTCAGCAGTTAAAAAACTACGCTCAGTGTTCTCCTGAATCCGTTTTAGCCGTAAATTTTACCGGTACAAATAACCGGCCAACCAGTGGAAATTTTGTGTTTGTAAAATTAAAAAAAAACACCACTGAAGACCCAGGTAGTGTAGACTGGCCTTCTTTCAATAAAAATCACTCCTGCCTGGGCTTTGACTACATGCAATGTGTTTTTTGTTTTTTTTTCAAGTCATTAAACCCCACTCAAACCTCACACAGTGCACATAGCTGCATTTTTATGGACAAATTTACCAGTAAAAATGTTTCAATTGAAAGAACATTGATGCTATAATATGTTATGCAACTAATAGCATGTAATTAATGAAGGAAGCTGCTCTAGGTCCAGGCTCCCAAATTTCAGGGCATCACAAGGAGGGACAAGATTCTATTTTTCCCTGTTTATTTTCTTATGTATATATTTAATAACAAATGTTGGCTACGGCACCTGGAACCTAGAAAAAAAGTTCCCTCACATTTATACTGTATCCAGTATAAATTAGAAACTATCCTATTTATGGATAATTGTCCAGGTTAAAAAACCAGAGGATCTACAAATTAGTCTTAAATAAAACAAAAAGACAGTAACTCCGAAAAGAGACAGGCATTTTGAGATTCAACGTTTCAATCTATTTGATCATTTTCAAGAATACTATTCTTGAAAATGATCAAATAGGTCAAAACGTTGAATCTCAAAATGTCTCTTTGGAGTCTTTTTGTTTTATTGTCCAAGTATTACCTCATTTTTGATGTCATATTAGTTGTTTTACTGGTACTGTGTGGGATTCCATTTCATGAATTGTTGTTCTAGACTGATCTGGTTGATGGATGGTTTTTTTATTCGATATTTGTTTACTTTTCTTCTGCATTTTCTCTGTATTTTTTATGTTCTCCTTCTTGGAGGTGTTTTTTGAATAAATTGAATTACACAAAAGGATGCAATAATCTAGCAAATTTCTCTGGCTATTAGATTCAAGCACTTATTAAAAATGTGCATCCTTCCCCACTCTCTTGAAAAAAATTATTTGAGTTGTGCTGAAATTATCTGCGCATACTAATGCAATGTTCTACCAGGTATCTAATTATCTCCTGGTAGAGTGAAGCCTAAGGACAAAAACAAGTGGCCACAATCAGACTCTTATTGTCAACCTTTCATAATAACAAAGGCCTTCTGATGCTTCACTTTTCATGGTGCCTGGTCAGGTAAATAGAAATTATCAGAAAAATACAGAATCATTTTTACCCTTTGTTGCACTAGACTGTATTCAAAAGTAGAATACAAATGTGGTTAGTGAAACAGTGGCAGTGTGGTTTAGTGAAGCAGTAGCACTGGGAGCTACCTTCTTACAATTCACACATTCTATTTTCAATACCTTTGTTAGCCTTTGTTTTGCGATTGGGTCATGGTGATGTCATGTACCACACCCGGCTAATCCTTCCATTATCATTTACAGAATACAATTGCTGAATGTGGTAGCTGAATGTTACTGGCACTAAACACACTTAATTAACTATGCCTAGCTGTAACAATTACTCCCTGTTCAATCTCCTATACTACCAGCCTAAATTCAATATTAATAATTGGAAAAAAGTTTTTAAAAAATTGTACAGTCTTTATATATTAACTGAAGACGGTAATTATTAGTTTGTGTTTGTATTGTGTCCTGTGGACATACGGGAAGAAGTTCTCACTTTTCAACAGGCTATATAAGTTCCACCGACTAAGGTCACCAAATGAGAATGTCTACGAAATACCTGCCACAACTGCCATAATCACCAACTTAAATAGCGCCAAGAGGAAACAACAAATTTGAATTGAACTGACGATTAAGCAAATTGAAAATAATTGCAAATTGGATTAATAATAACAATATAATATTAATAATAAGTAAGATTTGTATAGCGCTCATATCCATTTTAAAGAAATGCTCATGTCTCTTGAGAAAATAAACGGTGGAAAAAGAAGAATTCAGAAATTAAGTCAGTAAATATCCTACAAAACTATAACTGCAGAACCTCACAATAGCAAGGAACAATGGAACAAATTTTTAGACGGTGCAGAAGCACAGCCTACCAAGTGAACATGAATGAGATCCATGAATTTTATCTCATCTCTTCAGTGTCTTCCACCCCTTAATTGGGAACATGCTTTATAAATCCCTATATTACAGTAGTATTAGTAATATTATCATTGCAGAATTGATCTAAGGAATTTGTATTACAAGAAAAACCTATAAAAAATTCCATGATTACTATTCAAGTAGTTACTTCAATAATAAAGGTAGAGGTAGAAGAATAACCCATAACTTGCGTCATTGTGCATCAGTGCAGTACCATGTTATTTAATCTTTCAAGTACAGTACTATTCAATTCATTGCGGACAATGCATGAACTAACAAGTTTGTGCTGAACAATCATTTAATCCGAGGCGCTATTGTAAATGCATTAAGGACATCTTGCAATTGAATACGATCAAAGAGCTGTAAACATTCCAAGTCCTGTGGAATGCTATTGCTATTGCCATCAATAGACCACCTCACATACATTTTATCCACAATTTACAAATTTGTCATTTCAATAATATTACATCGTGTAAAGGGTACATTAGTTTCTGATGTTGTTAATTACATAACAAAACATCGCTCTCACATCCCCCTGTCCTCCAGGACCTCCACTGGCTTCCCATTAATTTGAGCATTAAGTTCAAACCTTGCTACTTACTTTCAAAGCAACCTATTAATCAGCTTACCCACTTATATTCCTGGACGCACCCCAAGATCATCTGATAATTTTTTGCTCTTTGTTCCCCGCACATCCTTAAAAACTAATGGCCACATATCTTTTTTTTTTGCCGCACCTACAATTTGGAATTCACTCCCTGCACACAATAAAAACTGTTCTTCTGTTGCTTCATTAAAAAAATTACTCAAAACTCACCATTTCCATCACTAACGTGCACAGCGCCTTTGATAATGCACATCGGTCGTTTAATTGACACTTCATAAATTATAATAATTATAATTATTATTATTATTAATTTGTGGTGATTTTCTTTGATTAAATTAATTTTTGATGTTAAAAGTACTGTAAAAAAGTATCATATTTGGATGTTGATCCAATAGGGTTGTACTGTACTATATTATATCACACTAGATTGAAAAGAGAATTTGTGTTGAGTAATGCTATTTAAAGCCGGGCCCCTTACTGTGCCTGATGGTCGTCAAGCAGGCGTGATTCTATGAAGAACGCAACGTCACGGTGTACGTAATGGATCGTTTTTAATGACGATTGGTTTAGACTGCCACTGAAAACCTATCGCTCACAGGGAACAAAAAGTTGGATTTGTCGTATAAGCGTCGTTCAACACAAAGAGTGGCCAGTTTAGTTGCAAGAAATACAACAAATGAAAAATTTAACAAAAGGAATGATATAAGACATGCTGTATAGAAGGCACTAATACCTTTTTATTTAAAATCAAAACAACCAGTAAAACAATGAGATATAATCTTTGAGGTGAAAATGAATAAAAGAAAAAAACCATGAGAATTTTGTTTATTGCATCCTAAGATATGAAACGATTTATAAGGTTATTATGGTTATAACAAGCAAGGGGATACTGAACATTTTTGTGGAAAAGTGGTTGAGTGAAAATACATTTAGTTAGTAAAATAGAAACAATAGTTATAATTACAATTAAAAAAAAAAAATTGCCATTTTATGAAGACTAGCTAGCAATTTAAAAAAAAAATGTGGTCAAAAGCTATTTGAAACTAATTTATTACATAGTTTTAATAATATTAATTGCTTTGTCAAAATTATAAGAATTAAAAAAAATAAAAATTATAGCCTCAGTGGCCTAATTTGTTAAGGTAGACTGCCTATCAGAAAACCAGAGTTTGAGTTCCAATTGGGTGACTTTTTTTCACTCTTACATACTTCCTTTTCTTTTATATATCTTCATATAAAAATTATACTATACATTTTTATATTACTGTATAAATATAGACAATATTAGTAAATGCAATATGCAGTGAACACAATCAAACACTCATCTCTTAATAATTGTGATTGATAACAAATGTTTTTGACAAATGTTTTTGTTTGAAGAGGGATGCAGAGGACCGAGGATACTGAAATAGAACTTATTGGGGGACCAGCCTTCCAGCAGAATACTATTGGTTGATTGGACAAATGTTTTACAGTTTATGACCATGCAAGTATAAAACATAGATTACAACAGTGGGATAACCAGGGGGTAACCCGTTGCACCTGCTCAAGCTTAAAAAAAATCTTACTACAGTAAATCCGCACCTGTGGTTTTAAACCCCTCCTTTTTGAGGTCCTGCATCTGCCCCCAACCAGTCTGTGTTATCAATTATCTGAGCTGTAGCTGTCTGTACTGGTTTCACGTTCTGAATCTGACCGACGCCTTTTACGTGCATCATGTTTGTACTTGCTGGAGTGTTTAGACTTCTTGGACTGAAGAGAAATAAATGTAATATTGTTTATTGTTAATATTAAAATTGTTCAAAATTAATCTTGTCATCTCATGGTCATTATAATCTTCATACCATCCTTATCATCATCATTATAATCATATCAAAGTTATCATCCTATCAACACCATCACAATCATTATCATCATCTTATGATTTCTTTGTCAAAAGACAAAGAAATATTATATTATATTATGATATTATATCATTTTCCATCAACCTATTAGTTTTGGTAATCCTCCCTGAAATGTTAACTTTTCTTTCATTTCTATCAAACAAATTGATGATATAGATTAACAAATGTCATATTATCTCCTGTACATTTACAGAAGAATTTAATAAATTACCTTCTTTTCTTTCTTGTGTTTTCCTCTATGCTTTTTTTTCTTTCGATGTTTATGTTTTTGTTTTTTCTCCAAATGTTCATGGCTTGAGTGCCTCTTTGACGTTTCCTCTGATGATTTCTCCTTCCTATAGTTTTTATCTTTGTTTCTCTTACTATACCTTTCATCTTTACTTACATATAAATGTTTATGTTTGTGAGGGTCCACTATATCTTTGGTTGGGTTTAAAGAAGAACTAAAACTTGGATTGTTCTCATTTGACGGCGGTGGTAGTGGTGGTCCGTATACATCTTCATTTACAGTTTTCTTCACAAGTTCAGGTGCCTCACTATGTTCTTTCATACTTAATGAGGATTGTGGGATTGTTAAATGCTCATCACCAGCTGCAGCTGGGAATATTTCATTAATTTCTTCACTGCCTTTCTTTACTTGATCTAACATTAAAAGATATATGTAGCAACATTGAGATTATTGTACTGAACACTTTTAAACTGTTATTATATTGAATTTTGACACATTTGAATGTAGATGAGTCCAAATTGTAACTTACTCTCTAAAAGAGTTTAAACAAAAAAAATTAAAGAATGCCTAGAGGGAACTTTACTAAATTTTCACTATTTTAAGACCAATATTTACTCAGTTTAAGAGTGAGTTTTCACTCAAAAAAGAGTGAAATAGGAGTGATCATTATAGGCACTCTTTTTGAGTGAAATTCACTCTTTTAAATTAACATAGTATGAATGCAAAATATGTGTGATGACATTTTTGATTATACACAATACCAACACTTAGCTTTTTCTGATCCGGACTTTTTTGTTTATATGAAATGTATTAGTTTTATGTAAGTTATTTAATTATGTCATTTAGTTTTTAAATAAACATTTATGATTATGATTGTGCTATAGGTGAAGAGGGTTATATGATGCATAGTTGTTCAAAAGAAATCATCAAGCATTATAACCTTGGGTGCCTTCTTTTTCTTCCTTTTTGTTTGTTTCATTTTCATCTCTGTCCTCCATCTGCTCATCTTCATCTTCTGATGACTCTTCACTATCTTCTGAAGACTCATCTTGGAAGATAGCTTTGAATAAATCCATAGGAGGGCGCTTTTCCTCCACTGGCTCTTCATCTTCTGGCTGTCAACAAAGAAGATTGATGACGTTTAAAACTATGTGCAACCATACAACATTAAGAGACTATGTTATATGGTGAAAACTCATAATAGAATCAACTCTATTAATTGACCATGTCCCTTTCAGGACCACCATTTTCTTGACCCAGCAGAGATTGTCCTTTCTTTTACCACAGCACTGTCTTCTCCCACAAGGGTGGTCCCGAAATAGAGTTTCCACTACCTTAAAATTCTACCCACAATCCTGGATAGATGATAATATAGTGCCTTGTAGAGCAAATGGTCACAGTGGAAATCAAACCCTGACCTTAAGGCTGGGACATCAAAATGGACCTACTGCGCACCTTCTACAATCTACATTATATGATTCTTAACCAAAAAATCGTTCAGTTCTTATCCTAGTAATTAATTTACTAAATCTTTACCTTTGACTCTTGTACTTCTGTAACTGTTGCCTTCTGTACAGGTGTAAAGTTTGAAAATATACCACCAGACTTGAAAATTGGAAGAGTTTTTCTTTCAGGTGTAGTCTGTGGCTCTGTGATATAGAATCATAGACACAGAGTAAGTTATAGATGGTGGTCCAAGACTTTGTGGGAAATAAGAGGGCTCTAGACTGATGACAACATCAGCAGCAACAACAATGATATACAACCTTGCTAGGGTACACTATTAATATATCTTAGAATCCAAAGTGAAGTTCGTGAGCAATACAGTTAGTATTGAATAAAAACACAAATCCTGTTACAAAAAAAAAATCTAATTTTCTTGTATGACTAAATTTATTTAGCCAAATTAACAAAAAAACCCCAAAAAAAACTACCTGCACAAAAATCTGTACTATTAGTTACTATGAAGAAGGCTTACTAGCTACAAAACTAACCCCACCCCTAAAAATTCCTGTACCCCACCCATAATTGCATACCTGGAGATGGTTGCTTTGGCTGATGTTTCTCTGATATATGACTTTCTTCATGGCTTGGAACAGACATAAAGTTATAAAGAGATATCTTGTCTTTCTTTACAGTTGGTAAACCAACTATTGAAGATCTACAAATAAAAAAAATACCATATAAGAACTTTTATTCCCAAATCTTAATCTGGACTTGCAATTGTGAGGTCTGAAGTTCGAAACTGACAATGGTCACACCGCTTGTGTTCTTGGAAAAGACACATACCAATGTTTGCCTCTCCTTGCCCAAGAGAATAATGCCTTACTAGGACTAGATATATTTCCCAGGAAGTGGAGGAGGTTGCATATTGTGTTTGATTAATTCTGTATCCAATGACTAAAAAAAAAAAACATCTTGAGCAGTTTTTTCTCAAATTAATATGGTAAATTGAAAGATACTACAGATTACATATTTCAATAGGAGATTATTGTTCATAAATAGAATTGTTTAATTTAGCTTAAAAAAACCCCTCTTTTCCATTACCAAAAAAATTTGTGGAGAAATACTGGTGGCATGCAATAGCCGGTATCTTTCCTTATCCCAATTTCCTTGATCTTGATCCTAAGTATTACTACTAAAAAATACCAAAAGACGTTTACCCCGGATAGGGATCTGGAATATTAAACCGTTTACATAGTAAACGATCGGGGTGCCATTCAAATGTATCCCTTGTTAAACGTCCAAACATTTTCATTTCAGCCGCCTTTGCATGGTGACCCTTTTCACTCTGAAAAAGACAAACAAAACTCAATGTTTACTTTTGAGAAAGCTTCCTCCCTATCAGATTTTGTTTACATGGAAATTACAAATCAGTCACATGAATGGGTCTATTGTGCATTAGGGGAACACTCACTATGTCAATATATTAGGATCTTTCTTTTTGAACTGTTCTGAAATTCTTTTGTGTCTCTTATGAGTTTTCCTCCTCCACATTTGTTTTTTTTTTTATCCCAATATTATCACATAAAATCACATATAAGTTATGTTTACTATTTCTTTTGATGTTCTTTTTGGAACTGTATTTTGATTTTAGTGAAAGTAGGCCTATCTTTTGTAAACGTTGCTTTGTAAACATGTATTTCCAAATATTTTAGTATAATACATTTTTATATTACGTAATTTTATTGTTGTATTGCACATTTCATTTCTGCTGTATCTAAGTGAATATAATAATACATTTGTGTGTATTTGAATTACATACTTTGTACATGCAAGCAAACTCATTACCTATTAATTGAAAATCATTAAAAATATTTATCTTATTTTTGTGGTAAAACGTCTGAAAATTATTGAAAAATTAACAGCTGTTGTCTTATTGGATATTTGTAACTTATATAATAATCCTTTAAAAAGCGCAGTGGGTCTTTCCGTGGTGTCAATCAAACTTAACAACTGACCAATCACAAGGCCAAGAATATGCTCGAATCCTACAAATACATGCGTTGTCCCACAAACGCACACGTATATGTACACTTTAATACGATAATGTTTTGTGGAACCTTAGCAACAATATCCAAGGGGCGCGGCTTAGCGGAGAGGTCCATTAAGCTTTGTCCACACTATCAAGATGATGATGTCATAACATACCCATATATGGACAAACCACAGGTATTTAGTGTGGACAGAACTTAAGAAGAAAAAATGTAGGCTCATTTAATATGTAATCATATGAGAGTCGAATGGCCGAGCGGTTAAGGCAGGGGCGCCGCAAACCTAGCCACAGCCATAATATTGGCGCTGGTTCGTTTGAACGGCATGTACACCTATGGTTCTGGTGGTGAAACAAGTTTTCTCAAATAAGGACTATAAACCATAGGTCCCGAGTACACATTTGGATAATATGTACTTTAAAGAACCCAGTACAACTTTTGAGAGGAGTAGGGGCTACCCTGGTGTACTGGGCCATACAGCCCATGTTACCATGTGGTTATTGACCATTAAATGCACATTGATATAACTGTCCCTACCTCTTGGTCGACTGGTACATCATCCTTGCTGTCGTCATCAGTATATTTAGCTGGGGTGAACCTTGAAGCCATTGTACTTGATAGTGGTCTGTAGAGGATGGATGCTCGAGTGAATTCATCATGCTCTCTTCTTCGTTCCCATTCAGTAATGGTATCTGCCTCCCCTGTTGAAAGACCTGGGCAGGAAGAAAGAGACACATCTCTAGTCACATTGTAATACTTAATATACAGAATGACATGGTAAAATAACCAAAAAATTCAAAAGAAATTTTAATATCCTTATAAGCAATAAGTCCTGATTGGATGTCTGGTGATAAAAAAAAAAAAATGGATGCCCTCATCCTTAAATAAAAAAAAACCCTGGTGAAGTAATATGCATTTATTTGTATTTGAACTTATTACATTTTTAAGTAATCTACTTCATTAATTTTATGAAAAAAAAAATGGAAATTTTGTAACAGCTGGAATGTTGCCAACTTACTATCACCACCCTTTCCTTTGCTAGCCAAGAACTTCTCATATCGTTGTTGCTTGGCAGGGTCTTTGGCGAATGGTTTAAAACCAAAGGTTGAACTACCGGCGCTTGCTATTGACACCGATGGGCTTTCTGTGTTAACAGGTTGTGGTGGTTTTGCAAACCTGGACTCCATCTTGGCTCTTTGAGCACTGACTAAACTAGCCACTACTGCTGCTATATCGACCGGCTTATTATCAGCTGATGTAGGTTTCAGTAGTTCAGATGGATCAGAAGTTTGTTTTGATGCTTGAGATGGGTGAACAGCTGGTTTTGTTGAGTTAACAGCTGGCTTCTTGTCTACAGGTTGAACCTCTGGAGCTAATAATCAGAAAAATTTATAAATTATATATTGTTGTTATTTAGTTTCACATTACATCAAATTAAGAAATACCAGAATAATCCATAAAGTCTCAGGCCTTAATTCCAATAGGGTCCCCATGTATTTAAATAGATTTATAAATAGAAATATAGAAATAGATAGAAGCAATATTTACTATATTATATTATTTTAGTCGGTGAAGTGTTTTATTTAGCTGTGAGAGCAGCTTAGCGCAGATGTCTAATCTGGTTTTAGCCACTGTGTGTGCGCTGAACCGTTGAGATCTCTAGGTCCCCGGTTTAATTCCCATCGCTGCCTCTCCTTGTGTTTCAGCTTGAGGGCTGAAATACAATTTACAATAGCGCTTACCATCTTTCGGATGAGAAATTTAAGCCGTTGGTCCCGTGTGCATTTATGGCCCATTTGCATGTTAAATAATGCAGCACACTCTTCGGAAAAGAGTAGGGAATTGTCTCCTGGTGTACTGTCCCATCACCATCAGAAGGGCCCAACTGGAAATAAGTCTTCTTCTAGACTTTCGTGGGCTATCCTTGGTGTTTAAATCCAATCCAACATGAGGAGCTCTAGGAGTACCCTGCTGATCGATTAATTAATAGACCTTTTTTGTATGGGCGGCCGTTAGGGCCACTAGAATCACTTGGCTGATTGATTAATAGATCTTTTTGTAGGGGCGGCCCTTTGGGCCAATATACTCTACTGATTATATTATACCGCCCTCATCAGAGCTTTTAAGATCAAGAGAACCTGTTTTATACATTCTTGAATGGAAGAAAGCAGTGCATTCGCCACAGGACACACACAAATGACCAGCATCTAGATCGAACCCTAGCTTTTTCAAATGGAAGCCTGGAACCTTACCAATGCACCATATGTTTTTACGTGATAAAATTACCTGGTAACTGTTCTTCACCGAGCAGAGCTCCCCTCTGTATTGCACCCATTGTGAATAACTTGCTTTTAAACTTCGGCCCAGCTGGCTGGACATCCTTCATCTTGTGATATGGTTTGTAGTCCCGTGGTACATCAGGAGGCGGGTAAACCTTAAAAAAATATTTTTATTTATTAATATGATTGATAGTGTGGCTTGCCAATATATTGGTATGATAATACCATATCTCACCCATATATGAGTGGATGCCATTTCTCACACATATATGGGCAAAATTTTATATCTCACCCATATATGGGTAGATCACCTATATTTGTCACAGAAAAGTTGATAGTGTCAACAGAGTTTTAGACCAGTCAACACAGAGCTGCCAAATAAATAACAATGTGAACACAAGACTAACTACATGAATAGTGCATTATGTAACTATTTATATAATTTCATGACAAATACAACGTTCTACCACAATACAACTAACTTATATGGAACATTAATTTAATAGATATATTTCCTTATAAGAAACATTAATGTATAAGAAAAATTACCATATTTAAAGAACATTACCTTATTAGGTGGTCTTGGATTTTCTGATAATGTGAAACCCTTTAATATTTTTGACACATAACTTGCATTAAAAACTGAAAGAAATCCATAAATTTAAATTACACTTTTATGTAAAGCATTTCTTAAATGTTATGTCTTCATAAATACTATACAACCATAAGTGTTTGGTCAATAATCAGGAAAATAAAGAGAAGTGCATGCCTTGGCATTATAGTAAGACCAATGTACAAAATTAAATATAAATCAACATTAAATAATTAAGAAAATTAAAAATGATTTTGGCAAATGTAAGCTATTTAAAGCATCCTTACATTTCGTTTTTGAATTTGATGTTTTGCTCCCCACTGATGATGAAATTTCGTCGCCAATGAACTGATCATAATTGGACATGTGATCCACAGTATAAATATCATCATCCTGATCCTCAAATGCACCCACTCCAAATGCCTGCAGAAATATGCATATAAACACATGTGTTTTGAAAACAAAAAAGGTTAAAGGTTAAATTCATAAGTCTTATTTATATATTGACAAAAAGTCATTATATTTAAGTTTATTAAAAATATTACACTCAATTCTTATATTTCACAATTACTTATTCCCTGCATGGCTTACTAATAAAAATAGCATTAAAAATATCAATATATAGTATTACTAAACTAGATATATATAATACATAAAGCAGATAATTTTAAAAAAAAAACATAAACAAAAGATAACTAAAAATCATTGATACTAAGAATAATATCACCCATATATATACAGACACACTTACTCGCACCCTGCTTTTTTTTCTGCCTAGGTCCAATTCCCTGACCATGTCGCCATCCCATCTTTCTCAGTAGCTGGATACCAACAGACTCTCTGTGTAAAGAATCAAATACAAGTTTAATGCAAAGTTGTTTTTTGGGTTTTTTTGTTTTTTTTAAGATACTCATCAGATGGAATAAAAATAACCCACAGAGGCCTGGAGTGGCAATATCTTACATCAGACAACAACTTTAGACTAATTCGTAGGGCATCTGGCAAGAAATAAGGATAAATTCACTAACATTTTTTTTAATTTGTAAAGAAAAAAGCTAAAAAAAACTTTTTTTAAAGTTTTTTTTTTTTCTGCCCCATTTTTTACAGTGAGTTAGGGGAGGGTGGAGGAGGGCAAACAACAATATTTTTTCGGCCTTATTTTTGGTCAGACAACCCTGTCGTGACACCTGACAACGGGGAGTCCAAGCCTGTCTGATGGGGGGGGGGGGGAAAAAGCCCTCCAACTTGCGCATGGGACCAATGGTATCCAAAATATAGTGCCCTATTGTTTACTACCTGTTAGGTTGTATGAGATCCTGAAGAGGTGCTTGTCCTGGAATGACTCCTCCGTCTACATCACGCCATCCTCTCTTCTTTTTTACTTCAGATTCAGTTAGCTGCTCATATGTATCTGTTGTCGTAATCTTCCTCGGGGCAATTCCGAATTCCCCAAAATCCTGGGTAACAACAAACACATAATTCATTTCAATGATTTTTGTTTGTAATTAAATACAGAAAAAAATAGTGCCAGCCAAGGCAAAAAAAAAAAATACTACAACAGTACCATTAAACAGTAGAATTAGAAACTGGAAGTGTATGGGGGAGAGGGTATGGGTGCATCAGTGCTACTTGTTAAAATTAGGTGAAATGAGGTGTTTTTAGCTACTTCAGTCCAATTTCAGCAAGGTTTAAGAGTGGAGCACATGGGATACAAACTTCTCTGGTATTTGAAAGAAGAACCACTGCCAACAACATAATAATTCCTCTGCTAAAATAAAAAATATTTAGAATACATCCACAGAGTTATTGGAATGTACTGACATTAGCGTAGGATGCGAGGGGGAAAGGATGAATGTATTATGTGCTCATTTAAAAAATCTTCCCAGATCAAAACAAATTGATTTAGCAGTAAGATGGAATCAACCTGAATGTTAAGAATGGTATCCTTACATCCTCATCCATGAAGTCTTCAGGTCGTTGTTGCGTCTTGCCAGTTTTCTGTGAACGTGATGACACAAAAGTTGATGGAGCCCATCCTACAAAAGGAAACATTTCGCATTAATGGTACAAATGTGTTTTATATAAATTAGGCTTAAAATAACTTATTTAATATTCAAATTAATGTACTTTAAAAACTTGCAAAAATGCTTCAGGACCTTTTACTTCTTAATTTGATTGTGGTTATGATACTTAAAATTAGATTTCATACTTGAATATTTTGAATATTTTCCGAAGTTTTATTTGGTTTTATTTTGTCCTGATAGTTACAGGCATGCATTGTTGTTAAGGCACTGATTAACTTGGGAAATACAGTACTCCGACTCAGTCTATGTGTTAAACACTTGATGGGATGCTACCTTTTTCTGACCCGACAGTATTGTAGTACCCTGCTGAAAATCCACCGCTGAATGCTCCATGGAAGCGCTGCCGGCCTTGCTTGTCAGTTACTACCTGATCTTCAACCAATGTAGGTTTTTTTCTCGGAGCATCTAAAAATATGAATACAAAAATTACAAAAAGAGAAAAGTAGTAGTATAAAGTAGTATAATCTTATATACATAATTTTCATTTTATATGTATATTGTTGTAGTACTACATAGTAGAATAGCAATGTAGTAATAAGAGGCCTCTTGGGTTGTGTGGACTATAAGAAATAATAATACTTGACTACCTATTAGTCTGAGCACGAACTGGTTTCACAATATTTGGGAAACATCCACTTTTGTAATATTTATTCAAAAACTATAATTTAAACTCTAGGGTACTTACTACTACTACTACTAGCTTTAGAGTAGTACTAGTGGCACACCTGACTGACAACTGATTGAACTAGGCATGTATGCACTCTAACCTACTAAACATAAACCAGTTATAAGCTAGGGACCAATTGTCCAGACCAACCGCTTGCTCACGTGAAGAGGATTGAATGTCTTCCCTTTCTTTGTGTTTAGGTAGGCCTAGCTAGAGACGACTGGCCTGGAGATCGATCATAGAGGCCAGCTAACGTTCACTATTTTGTTTTCAGTCATACCTTTATCTAATATTTCAACAGGAGTTCCATAAGTAACGAATGTCTCTTCCTCATCAGAATCGCTCGCCATTATTACAGCTAGGCCTAGGCCCCTACGCTACTTTTCACTTTTTATCAGCAGTACACCACGATGGTGGTGAGCATCCAGGCCAGCATCAAGGCGCTAGCTCTCGTGCGTGCGCGCTCGAAGAATTTTCAGTTTGTCGCCCCCTCGCTGTCAGTAAATTATATAGTAGTGCATGCTGCGCTCGAGTAGTATCCGCTCGAGTTGACATCCGCTCGTATCTACCTGTCACCTGATAAAAACTCACTGCTCGATGGTGGTAACTCCCACTCTATTGTTTTTTTCATTGCATCGTAAAAGAAAAATTTTCAGTCTAGGCCTAGTTGCTGTCACAACTGTAAAGTGAAACTGGTAGTTCACTAAAGCCATGATCATGCCTGGAGGAGATTCTTTATCTGTGCACGGTACTGGCGGTGCAATTGACGGTAAGCCTTGTCAAGGCCTAGCCAAGCTAAGGCCTATCTAGCTATACGTGCGCGACAGAGAAAGCCACCTGCCTACTTGTTGAAGATCAACTAGCCTTGCACTTCCAGTGGTGTGATGGGGGCTGGCCTCTTCTGGGTAGGCTTGCAGCAGAGCTACTAGGCTAGACCTAGTGCAATATCCGGTTAACAGACTTACCGGTCTTCCTTTCCATAGAAAGGCCTACTCATAATCTCGTGATATAAGAGGTTTATTATGCTGCAGTTCATGTTAAGAAATTATAAAGATACATATAAATTATAAATATTTATATTAAAAAATAATATTGATTTGGTGGTCTTGCCTTTTTATTTACTAACAGCACCACCACCAAGCCAACATAATATCTTGCCAATTTTATGATGGACCACCATAGATGTAAATAGTTTAGAGAAATTGTTTACAAGGAGGTGTACTTTAATTTTACATTAAAAAAGTAAAGTACAGACCTCTCCATAGTAAAAAAATCAATGTCTCATTTCTAACGCTCCTTGCACACCGTCAATCGAGAATTACCAGACTGTAAAGTAAGGCCCTGTGCGGGGAATATATCCTCCACCCATGAATTCGGCCTAGAAATCTGTTAGTGATTTTGGGAAATATATGTTTTATATTATTTACCTGTAACAATATTCTTATTTTTGTTCCTTTGTTTTCAGTACATATAGACCTTTGTATTATTCATTATATTATATATTAACTATAATTTGGCTTCAATGTATTTGTTAGCTTTGTGATCCTGCAGTTAGTGCTGATACACTGAACTTACATTTATTGACACCAATCCAATTTTAGGTATAAATACACATCCTCAAAAATATAATCAATCAGTTTACCTTGCACCCAAAAATATATAATACATACATAAAAACAATAATGCTTTACACAAAGATACATTCAAAACATATTGATGGAAGGTGGCTAGAGTACAGTTCATCAATGAACACAGAAGAATCTAAACTGTTATTACTATAATAATTTCTTTCACATATTACAGCAAAAAGTCTTACTGTTTTCATGTTATTCTTCTGCATATTAGGGATTGACAGTCAAAATAATGTTTTGAGTATGTAATGTTTTCTTATCAGAGCTCTCCTTAATTTAAATATAATGAATTATGATGTGCAGGAGGTGTATTCAGCGGTGGCGCCAGAAATTTACTGACAAGGTGTCCGACATGTCCGATTATGTGGTCCGAGCCAAGTTGCTGAGGAAGCCTCGGTCGATGGCCCAGAATAAAACCTCCTTTGTAGGGTTCATGGGGAGAGTTTTTATGGTCCGAAATGTGCTTTTAGACCAAAATATTAGGGATTGGCAGTCAAAATAACGTTACTTGGATATTACTCAAAAATTATTATTTTAAAAATTTTGGATTCGACGGCCTAGGAATGCGTTGGACGACAGGGGTTCAGGCCTGTCCGACAGGGGGAAATTTCCCCCTGCCTCCTTGCTGGCGCCACCACTGGATGTCTTATACAAAAGGATCAGTAAAAAGAAAAGAATGCCAGACCAATTTATAACATTATCAACACAAATAAAAAGAAAAGAATGCCAGACCAATTTATAACATTAACAACACAGAAAACTTTAATCTTGAAGTCTTTTTCATCTTGGACAAGAAAAAATGTTTTGGTTGTACTCAAAATCATCAGTTTGAACAGTAAGGCGAGACTCTTTTAATACCTTGTTTAGCAAACCCGCCGCCTGCCAACGATGATGATTTTTATTTTTGGCCAATTAGCACACCCGCCGCCACAAAAAATTAAAATTACTGAAAAAAGTTTTTCTGTAATTTTACTACGTCCGTTTATTTCTTCCTAATTAATTGTACTATGTAAAAACTGTGTTTTATTTATGTTGTAGGTTTTATCACCTTTGAAGCTTCACAACTGAATACAAATTGTTGATAACAAATTAATAAATGACAGAGTTTTACATTGATATTATCTACTTTTTCTATTCTTCCTTTTATAAATGGACAGAATTTTTAATAGAAAATTACTGATTCCCCAAATGGTCAAGAATAGAAACCTATTTCAAAATAACCGTAGCACTTAATATGATACATATATACACATCCTGTGTTGTCATTTTCAATATGCAATAAATATTATAAGAGGCTACCATTCCACTTGAAAACCTGATAATTATTTTAGTCCCAAGGCAAAAGGATATACCAAACAGCGAACTTTATAATCACTTAGTGGCATATCCCTTCACGACAAACATAAACACAAGATGCTCTATGTAAACCAGTTTTATACCTCCCTGCATAAACTAAGCACTATAAAGCTTTGGGAGTGGAGTTGTTTTGGTCATAACAGGAAGTGATTGGGAGACAAGCATCTTAACCACCAAGCTATTCAACTTTACTCCAAAAATAATTGAATCAGACACTACTATTATGTACATTTTTTAGAAGCTAGTGTTAAATTGCAAAATGTATTAAATTGTAACTAAACTACCAATTGTGGTCATTTATGTATCTTATAATACCAGTATATAACCAAAGATTTGTTTTCTTAATAATATAAAGCCTGGTATAATATAAACTTAAAACCTAAAGTGAAACAAATCTTAACAATTTTTTTTCTCAATTATAAAAAGAAAAAACACAATTGCTGTATATACTCGCATATAAGACGAAGCTTAAAATAGCAAGTTACGATCAAAGACAGAGAGTCGTTTTAAACATGCAACTTACGAATATTAGATTTTTGAAATCATGTTCGTCTTATGTGTGGATCGTCCGTAACTAAACTACTAAATGTTATTATGAATGAACGCAATTTTAAATATTGAGAAATAAGATTTTGACTGTGAAATGGGGGGGGGGTCGTTTTAAATTTAATTTCCGTTACAATGTCCTTTTTTTTATCAATAAATGAGTAATAAAAAAAATTGTGATAGAAAACAGCGCCATCATATTTACACAATCAATAGAAACATTTTTAATTCAAAGGTTTATGTGCTCACAACCAGGCCTTGCTCCAATTTTTTTTTTTGGTAACTACTGTAGCTCACTGATCTAGTATACTAGAAATTTTACTAGCCTGTGGACACACTATTTTACTAGCCCACTGTATTTTCTTAGGTGGCATTATATATTAATCAATCATGCAGGAAAAACACATATTGTTAAAGAAGAAAATGCTTAAGAAGATAAAGAATATGTTCTTTAAAGTCAGGCTCCAGAGGAAAAAATTTTGTTGATATGTTGTAGAACTGATTTTTCTAAGACAGAAAAAAGTTGTTTGACGAAAAACTGGGGAACGGTGAATGAGATACAGATTTTTTAATATTTAAAAACTGGGGGAAAAGGGGCGTAACTGCCCATTTTTACACCTTATTCTTATTATTATTTATGTCTTTATATTGATAAAAATAATTTATGTAAAAATGAATACAACTGACCAACACTATTTGCTGACATAACTTTCAAGTTTAATTGCAGTATATTTCTTTCTGTTGATAGCAAATCTCGGCCATTCCTTTTACCATAGCATATTCACTAATATTGTAATACCTAACCATATTATTTTGATATGTTTAACCATATTCGCTATCCCCTTGATTATTAAACATCAGATTATTAAACATCATGTGACTACAGATCTTCTTCAGTATGTCCTACTAACTAAATTTTATGTTGAGCTATCCTTTTTAAAAACTGAAACTATGTAGTACAGTATTGCACTTGGATGGCAGCATAAATTCACGAACTTTGATCACTAATTTTTTTTATTATTATTGATTTGCCCATATGTTGATCATGTGATAGATATTATTATTATTATATCAATGCAACTTAGTTTGTTTTCATAGACTGATTTGTTATTACTACCAGCATCTTGTGATATTTTTCAATCGGCTGTTCAAAAGCACACGACTTAACATCGAATAGTAAAATGTAAATGCTGTACATAATATTTAGCAAGTGGAAGTTTACTTTGGCAATGTAATCATGGCCAGGCATCATGCATTATCAGGTATTATTGTTTTACGTGTTTAGATTACAGGATGCATAGAAGCTTAGTATTTAGACACTAGCTAGGAAATGTTTATTTTTATGAATGAAAATTTGATATTTAACAGTGGTTTAAAATCATCTACTCTAAGGTTTTACCGTATATAAGTCATTTTATACCATGAATTCTTTAAATTAGTTATGTTATATAGACCTGCATAATTCACTAGAAACTGTTAAAATTGTAATGTGGTTTATTTTTTTTTAGCTTGAAATTTTTCAGTGGCTTCTCCGTGTCTATGGATTCAATAGTTGATTACTGATACTTTAGCTGTAGTTTAAGATGTTGCTTGCAAATTCAATGGTCTTAGGTCCAATTCCTATCAAATTACAAGATTTTTTCTTATGACCAAATACAGCTCAACTCCCTAAGCAAGTCTGAATGTGAAACATAGTCATACTGTAGTTAAAGGTATAAAATTGTGTGCGCTCTTGGTATTTATACCTTGAACATACCTTGATAGCCACACTTCATCATAAGAGTGAGAAATGTGGCAGGGTTAAGGGAGGCATAATTATGCCTGTTAATAACCCAGTTTACTTAAATTCTGTTTAAAGCAAAGGAGTGTGGGTGATTATATAGCGCCTTTCCTTTAGGTTTCAAAGTGCTTTGTTTTCCCTGGTGATTGGGTCCACATAATTGAGCTTTGCTGTCGTATTGGCGCAGTAGCAGGCAACCCCACCAGGTGAATTGCACAGCGAGGGTCGAAAACCTGACCTCAAGGTGGGAAAACCAAACTGTTCACACTGTGCCAAATCACTTCCATCTTGTGTACAGTACAGTATGTTTATTCATCCAGGTACTGGCATCTATGCTGTTAAATGAAATACAATTTTAAAAAATATTGTTAACATGGTATTATTTCGGTTCCTATTCCTTTTATTATTTTACAACAGATGTTTTATTTGTATAGCAAGCTTCCTAGTTTTGTGTCCTTACAATAATAATATGTATAGCATAATTGTATCAACTACTTTAGTAAAGTAGTTTACATCTTGCAGTTCTTTTGTATTTGCCATATAATGTGCTATTGTATGGTTAAGTCAGAAGTGGTTTCATATTCTATTAGGCCAAGTAAAAAAAAAAATGTTTTTAAAAGGTAGAAGGAAGATTTTTTTTTAGATCAAGTCGATATGCTGGTACAACTCTGGGATTCATACTAATTTTAGTGTAAAGGTATTTGTTAATCTTCATGCCCAAGGTGCCTGCACATCCCACAAATCTGCATGAAATATTTTGTAGCTTCATGCTTTTAAGCGCTTATCATACTGGATTTTAAACATTTCTTATTTTGATATCTAAACATAATAATTACACTACATGAATTTACAAAATATTTAAACACATGCATACTACATTTCAAATTTTGTTAGGCAATGTCTTTTATGGATGTATGGATGGACATATTCAGTGTAAACACCAACGATAACCCACGAAAGAAACCCTACTCCTTTCCGAAGAGTTTAAGTTTACCACGTTCTTTAACATGCACATGGGCCATAATGCATATGTAGGACCAACGGCTTAAACATCTCATCTGAAAGATGGTGTGCTATTGGAACTTGTATTACAGCCCTCCAGCTGAAACGCAAGAACAACAGCGATGGGATTTGAAAGGGGGTCCTAGAGATCTCCACAGTTCAACGCACACACAGTGGCTTCCACCAGTCAATTGAGCTAAGCGGCTGTCTGTATATGTTGTATGCATGTTTTACTATTCGTATGATATGCAGTAAGGAACATATGTACCAAACGGTTGAAATGTTTCAAGGTAGTGTTTCAGGGTATGGGTTCATTCTTTGCTAGAAGGGTGGAGGTCCTCCACCTGCTGCCAATAGAATGGGTTACAGATTAATTATTAAAAATATATTAATTCGTATGTACTATTTTGTTTTGAAGCCATGGTAACTGCGCTGGTGGACGCAGCTTATGACAAGAAGCCGGAAGTAAGAAACATCATCAGCTCTTCGTTGGTGGACATAGGCAAACAACAACCAACAATGGTGCTGAGTTGTTGCCATGTCTACCTCAAGAAACACAGTAAGGTATGACATAGATTCATAAGAGTTAAACCTAGCACACACTTGCTGACAGTCGTACAACCGTCGGCTGTCTAAACTGTCTCTGCTCTCTTAGTGAGCGCTTGACAGTTCAACGCTGTCTGCTGATTGTCAGTGATCATATACTGAGCAAATTGTCATTGTCGATCTGTTATGTACGTCTTGTCTTGTTGCAATCTTCACTGTCCGGTGCATTGTGTGTGTGTGGCTTTATCATGTTTTATAATACTGTAGGTTTTATGGAAAATTTATTTATTATAACAAAACATGTGATATTTTCCATATGATTGTTATGATACATATAATGAAGTTTATCATTTTAGCTTCAAAGAGAACATCGAGTAGTGATTTTACAGACAATCGAGAAGGTTATCGAGGAAACTTTAGATGCCATTAAGGCTGGACTAGCTTCTGAGCTAGTTCAGTTAGCTGCTGAGGAAATGACTGCCACAAAAGTAAGAATGTGTTTGGTTGATTTTCTTTGATTTTTTATTTATTATTATTATTATTATTATTATTATTATTATTATTATTGTTATGATTATTATTATTATTTAGTGTCATAATTAGCATCTTCATCATCACGCTGTGTGGTATTGCTATAATGTCCAAAGATTGAAACCAGAGCTTTGTATGACTTCCATAATGCAAATATACAGTAACTAATTGTACTTATAATTGAGTTTTATTTATAGATAAATGTAATGTTCGGAAGAATAGAAACAACAACTTATGATAACTATATGGAAATAATGATAATAATTTTTATTTCATTTTTTGATATCCTCTATCATCTATATATTGTATTGCATCATAAATTGTTTGTTTTGGAGAGACCTATATCTCACCAATGTTGTAAAGGCCACTTTGAATATTGTTCAATTTTCATCATAATTATTAATGATTAATAGATATTATAAAATAATATTTTTTTTAAAAACAAATTTGGCATGTTTCAAGACAAGTTGTATATTTTATAATGGAAAATAAATATTATAATGATGGCAATAAAATTGTGTAAAGTAGATAGATATAACATTTTTTTAAATCTCATTTTTTTTTGTTGAAAAACTTATCTTTTTTTTAAAGGAAGTAGAGCCCCAGTGGCAAACAGCAGCAAGTGGCGTGCTAGTGGCGCTTGGTAAAAAGTATTGTAATGAGGTAATGGAGGAGGTTTTAAAGCGATTTCAACCAGGAGCACTGCCACATTTTTTCATTGTACAGACAATGGCAAATCTTGCTACTGCCAATCGTACGTACATTTATTTAAAAAAAATTTATACTGTATAACATAACAAAAAAACAACAGAGTATACACACAGTTTTGTGTTAACTAACTCTCCTCATAGAGAAATTGGGCCATATGTTATATGTGTCATATGCATTATAATTTTAATAGTTGAGTTTATCTTTTGTGCTTGTTAAGAATGTAAACATCCTGTGCCTTTGACCATGTTATTGGCTAGTCTTATTGATTGCAGTGTAAACATATAAGACTGTCAGTGTTAATAGTAATAATGTTTTTCTTTTTGACTTGATAGAAATTTTGTTTAGAAATTAAAATATTGAGCAATGAAAAACCTTTTTTTTCTTTAATATACAGTAGAACCCCCTCCTTTCAGACATCCCTATTAAGAGGACACTTGTTTAGCCACAAAACAAGGGAAAGTGTATCTCCTATAACACTATGGCCAACAACTATTCAGGGGTCATCCCCATTAAGGGGACTCTTGTTTTTGTCTACTGTATAATATTAAACCTGATATATTGGATAGATCAAAATCTGTCAAACATGTCTTATCAAACATGAATTCTGCTGGATATCTTGTAATCATATCCTTTAATGCACAGGTCAGTGTAAGTTAGCTCTGCTATGCTATTTGGCTCTCTTGCTCTTCTTGCTTATCATTCTATACTCTAGTGTACATGTTCACCATATGGTTTGCTCTACAGAATACACAATACGATGACATGTAATACAACTGTTGTTCAGTTTATGATAATGACTATTGTTATTAAAATTTGTTGAATTGTAACATTGTTGACACAAATACTATTTCATTTGCATTCTTTTCCAATTAATGGGGAGACAACATATTGATATATAATTATTTTAAAAAATGTTATTCCTTTCAGCAGTACAAACATTAAAAGCACAAAATCAAAGAGTAGAGGTGTTGAAAGACAAAAGCGTGAAAAAAAACTACTACCTCTAAAGGGCGTGCCTCTCAAACTTCTACTTCTATGCACAATACAGACATAAAAATAATGTAAACCTTAAATTGTTTGGTATACTTGATGCCATTAATATTTCAAATGAACAACAGAATATTTTAAAATATTTTATATTATCAGTGTTTGGCCATTTCTATAATTTCTTGAAATTTTACTTCTTTTCAGCATTTAGCTTTGTACCGTTTTTGACAGCTGTTCTTGGCACCATGCTGCCGATGCTGGGGCTAGCGAAACACGATAACATGAGATGGGTGTTTAGTTGTGGTGAGAGATAAATTCTTCAACCTCCCTAAACTCCATTCTACTTAAAGATAAAATTATGGTTGGGGATGTAACCCATCCCACCTCCTCCCCATAGTTATGCCACTGTTTTAATAACCAGTTGATATGTGGGGTACCTTGGGAACCTGGATGTCCTTATTAAATTATAAATCATTAATATTTCATTAAAGTTGTAACATTGGTTTGAACATTTATGCATTACTCTATCAAAAAGCAGATAGAAATGTAAAATATAGGAAAAAAAAATCATAGATTAATTTATTATAGAAAATGTATCAATAATTTAACATTATACTTATTCTTTCAGTTAATTTGGAAGTATTTAATTGTATTTATATTGATATGTTAAATTTTGACAAAAAAAATAATAAACTGTATACTTTAGTATGTTAATTATGCATAGATAGATAATCTTTGTCCATCTTAAAGCTGTGTCTTAGTCTGCATTTGTAATCTGATATTTCTTACATAGCATTAGCACGGTTCAGTGAGAGCATTTTGCATTACGTAGCCAATATAGAGAATGCTCCAGACCAGACTGTTAGGAAGGAATTATACTCGTCACAGATCTACTCAGCTTATAATATTGTCTACAATGTCTGGCTTCAGTCCAAGGAACCTAAGGTGAAGTGAATTTGACTAGATTTAATGTATGCATGGCAGATGTATTTATTCATTCATTCATTCATTTGTTTTATTTATTTATTTTCATTCATTTATGTATGTATATATGTGTATATATATATATATATATCAAACATCAACATATACAAATGGTAGCCGTTGACTAAAATGATTGAATTTAAAAAATATTTAAATTACATCATTTTCAAATATGACAACAATTCCAAAAAAAAATTACAATAATTAAGAATATACATTAAAATATCTAGATCCAAGGTATAAAAAGCATGTTGTGTTACATCAACCATGAACTTGTATGCTCATTATTATTTTGGTGTTGATAAAAATTATAATGATAAGTTGTTGATAATATTTATGCTCAATGATGATGATAATGAATTTGATAAGGATACTGTTAATAACGTGATAAAAATTATAATGATGATTTACATAATAAGGTCTCCCTTAATAACTTTTTCTGCATTTGTTTTTTTTTTTATTTTAACAGTTGCGGTTAATGATTGTAGAGGCTCTTGGTTACATGTCAAATATCCTAGCAGAAGATATTTTAGAAGAACAGCTTCCTCGCTTGTTGCCAGGAATTCTTAATCTCTACAAGAAGCACCCAGAACCATACCATATAACACAGGTTAACACCCATACAATAATTGAGCAAGCAGTTTTTATGTTGTGCACATGACAAACAAAGAATGAATTGAATTTTTTTATTAAGATTTTGGACCTATTTATTACAAAAAAATAAGTGATAAAGATTATAATGATGATTTACATAATAAGGTCTCCCTTAATAACTTTTTCTGCATTTGTTTTTTTTTTTATTTTAACAGTTGCGGTTAATGATTGTAGAGGCTCTTGGTTACATGTCAAATATCCTAGCAGAAGATATTTTAGAAGAACAGCTTCCTCGCTTGTTGCCAGGAATTCTTAATCTCTACAAGAAGCACCCAGAACCATACCATATAACACAGGTTAACACCCGTACAATAATTGAGCAAGCAGTTTTTATGTTGTGGACATGACAAACAAAGAATGAATTGAATTTTTTTATTAAGATTTTGGGCCTATTTATTACAAAAAAATACAAATATTCAGATGAAAAGAAAGAAAGGGAATGAAAAGATAAGATGATAAGAAAACCAATTTAAGTATCTTACTTTATTGTACTTTATTAGGCAAGCACTAATATGATCAGCTGAAACAGAAAGAAAAGGAAAAGTAAAGATGAAAGAAAGGAAATTTAAGAATTAAGGGGAAATTGTTAGGAAAGATTTGAAAGAAAGTATAAGGGGAAAAATAGTTAATAATTCAATGCTCAAAAATATATAGGAACATGATGTTATAAAATCTTATCAAACATAGTTCATCAACGAAAGTTCTATGAAAACAAGGTCTCTGGTGGGAAGAAAAGAGGTGAAATTGAAGTGGAACACTGGACCTTGAGCACCCAAATTATGTGTGGAGATGTGCGCTTTAAAAATCCTTATCATCGTCATCACCATTTCAGCCGTCATCGGCCCACTGCAGGGTGAAGGCCTCCCCAAGCTGAAACCATCCACGCTTGTCCTGTGCAGCTCCCATCCAGGAAATACTGGAAATCCCACGATCTCATCCCTCCATCTGATTTTAGGTCTTCCTCGAACTCATTTGCCTGTTCTGCGAGTCCATTCGGTGTTAACTTCGTCCATCTGTTGTAATTTGTTCTGGCGAGGTTCCCAGCAAATCTCCATTTCTTGTTTTTAACTACTTGTATGACATCATGAACTTTTTGTTTACTTATTATCATATTATTATTAAAAGATTCTTGTTTAATGTTAATGTTATACCTTTTGTTTAAGGGATTTTGTATGGTACTTGATGCTGCAGTGCAAGGTGGAAATTTGATGCTTGAACCGCAAGTAGATTCGATTGTAAATACTTTACATCCACAGGTTAGTAGCCATTGCTTAAGATGTTCTGTACTTTGTTGCATATAATATTCATTAGATTATTTTATACTACCAAATAAATGAATGAATATTATACCAATATTCATCAGAAGTATACTACTATCAGATAAGTTTCACAAATCTTCTGCATTGTGAGAAGAGTTGCATAAAATGGACATTTCCGCGGAAGGTCAATTAGTCGTTATGCCCCCATGAAGACCGTAGACACCAGACGCCTGACTCCCAACCATCCATGTCCTCTTCTTGCGTTTCTAAAGGATTACTGACTGTATAATGTAATACCTGACTTTAAAATGCCGAGGAGCGGCTGGAACCAGCACCGATGTTAATGCTGTAGCTAGCGGTGCCCCTGCCTTACTACTCGGCCACTCTACTTAAGTATCTTTACATGTCAATGTTGTGATTTGAATACTATTCTGTTTACAATTCTCCTCTTTACTAGGTATGCATACAGCCTGACTACAACAGTCCTCCGTCAGTTAAAAATCACAACGAGCTTCTACGGTGCTTCTCGGTGATTGCCAAGTCGTTTTCCAACCAGATTATAGGCTTTTTACTACAGAAACTAGAAACAAATAACGAAAAGATTAGGATGGGTACTCTAGCTGTTTTTAAGCAACTCATCAACTCCGGAGGTAAGTCTTCATATGTGAATTGGCAAAGAATAGCAGAATTTTTTTGCAACCTTATGGAAACAATAATGAATATGACCATATTATCAGTTAAATCAATTATATATTGCATAGGTGTTGGTTGTGCCATAAATGTAGTACAATACAACACAAAAAATAGAATTAGTTATCAATGAAAGTTTTTTCAATTTGTTGAGTTACTTGTGATTTTATGAAAATATGACTTGATCAAATAATGAATATTTATTCCATTTTCTTTCATCAGGTACACATATGGAAGATAAAAAAACATTAATAGTATCTGGCTTAAAGATTATGTTAGCAGAAAACAATAACAAGGTATATTTCACCACATTCATTTCAAGCTGTTCCTTATATTTATTCTTTAAATAATGCATACAGCCTAACCTATGATCGTTTATTTGTACTACTGTCGTCTTGTTAACCAGTGAACGACAGAAACTGTACTGAGAAATAACCCCTCCACCCCTCGTTTGGTTCCAGTTTTTTATATTAATGCATGGAATAGTACTAATGGAAATGTGTAATTTGACATTCTATTTAAATTTTGTGAATGTTTCAATGCCATATTTGGTCATATAATAATGATAAATTAAAGATAATTTAAATAATACATTGTTTAAAGATATATGGTCTGTGTTGATAATAAAAAATTAAATTGAATATTTAAATTGCATAATAAGGATCTTCACCTTAAAATATCTCCTTAAAAGCTGATAGTCTAGTTCATGAACATTTATCTTCTAGAATGTCATCTTTTCCTAAAAATCAATGTTAGAATTATTCAGTTCATTTGTGAAACTTTTTAATTAATTTTTAAAATTAAATTTTTTCTAGATTTTATCACAGACTATTTATCATTATATTTTTGCATTTTTTATTGATTAACTTTTTTCAATTTTTGGTGCTTTTAATAACTAACTCAATATTATTTGTCATGATCAATGTAATAATTATACATTTTCTTAAAGGTCAAAAGGTTATTTGCTCAGGTAGTGATTGCCATGGCACCACATGGTTACTTGGAGCTGGAAGGAGGTCACTTAATGGTGGAGTTTATTGTTAAACTCTGCGTATATCAGGAACCAATACCTGTAAGCCCTTTGTATTTGAGATATTTATGTGTTCATCCATTCTTATACTATTTTGAAAAACAAATAAAAACATTTAAAATACATACAAATAAAACATTTTAAATTAATGATTACCGAAGATATCATTGTAGTAAAAGATTAATGGCATTATATTATAACTCAAGAAATAGAGCTGCACAAATTAAAGGGGGGGTGGGGGGTATAAGATTGCAACAAAAACAGGAAAACGAGATAAGTGCATTTCTAAAATCACATTGGAAAGGCTTTCTAATTGCATATTACATTGTGTTTTTAATGATTTTGTTAATATTTATTTGGTTTATCTCTTATTAAAAAGATCCAGACTGATACAAATAGTGAAATGGAATTGGTAATAATCCAAAATTATAAATCTGAATTCAAATTATCAGTTAAATATGGGGTTGGGATACATACATATCTGGATGTAATTAATATTATATTTTTTTATCATTTCTGACATTGTAATGCATCCTATCACATCTTAACTCAGGCAGCTCAATAGCCTTGCTTAAATTACTACTGGCACTGATATTCAAATTCCTTATAGATTAGTAACTGTGTTCACATGGGCATCTCTATACTACAATGTGAACATGCATCTAGTTAATTACATTTATACTGTTGTCAAGAAGAATACGCATATTCTAACATATTAACACGGCAGACTGAGAAACCTGCGTTTCAGACTGGAGTAGCATATTCAAACCAATTGGTGCTCTTTGTTGTCAACCAAACGTTGGTTACCATTCATTACGCCTGAATGACTTCATAATCTTAATGGTTTAGAATAGGCTTTCTGGAATAGGCATTTTAAAACCTAATAGTTTACAATAAAAATGTACTAAAAACACTAAAGCTTGCATTATCATCAATTAAAATTTACAAAGAAAAACAAAGATACAACATCTTAATAATTACGTTAGAAATTGGGATCAATGGTTTGTCAGTGTATAAAATGGCGTCCGCTTGAACGCATTTTGTGTCGCTTATGGCAACAGAGTAGTATCACGTGGTATCCTGATGTAACACTGTAGTACTCTATAGAACATACATATCCCTTATAGATTATTTTAAAATCTTGTATAATAAATAATATATTTTTTTAATAGTGACATCATAAATAAAGAATTAACTGGAACTTCTTTTATAAAACTAACTAACATTTGTTTGAACTTGTCTACAATGAGATACATACTATTCTGTTGTGACAATCCTTCTAGTTCTAGAAGCTTGTTTTCAGGTTTATATTTTCTATTGACTACCACTGTTTAATATTTAATAATATTGATATTATCATTATTCCGATACTATGCTTTCTTTATCTAATACAGTATCTCGATTACAGTTAATAAATCCTCTTTTAGTTTCAACTGCACATACTATGTAAGAGAGGCCTACACTTTGTGATTTATATGTATATGCATATTTGTAACTATAAGATATTACTCAACTGAGGGTTCAGTCTTACTATCATGGGATTTTATTTTGTTTTATTATTAATACTTGGGACTAGTGTTCTGCCAATTTGGTAATATTTTATGCAATGTAAAATTAAAACCAGGTGGGTTGTATCTACACCATAGAAGCAGTGTTTGTGAGTGGGGAAGTTATTGGGAGGACAGCGAATTTTATCTTCCCACACTGTACAAACTTGGTCAAGATGAGTGTCATATATTGTGTACACGTAAGCTGCATCCTGGGAATTTCAATTAAGGATGACAAAAAGTAAATTTGACAACTCAACAGACTATATTTTATTCAGAAATGTGTATCAAATCTTATTGAGGCAAAAGTACATACATCTCTCATGGTGTATTTTTGTGTGTCATATTCCTGTACATTCACGATTTCTAGCTTTTGAATGCGGCTCAAACTGACCCTTATGCACATATCTTATGTAATATTTCATACGTCAGTAGTGATTGTGTACAATCCAGAAAGAGACAAGAAAGAAAAGACAAGACAAAGAAAACAAAAATAAAGACAATGTAATACATACAATTGTAATAAAATACTCCACATAATTTGTAAAAATTAATATTCAATCTTCATTCCTCATCCCTAAGTTGAAGAAGCCCGATCCAGAACATGTGTCGAATGCTTCTCTGCGACTGATGTGTGAGAATGTGCTTCACCTCATATCTACCACCATTGAATGCATGGAGTCCGTAAGTGTTCATACCACTTAAAAGCTAATTCTAGGCCCGGCTAATAAAAGTTACTTTATATTTCTCAGACTAGTTTGGGTTTGGTGCAGTGGAAATGGATTGGTTCCCAATTTCAATTGGGGGTCTCAATCCCTTGCTGTGCATTTTGCTTGTGTTCTTGAGTAAACACTTTATCTGCATTTGCTTCTCTCCACCCAGGGGTATAAATGAGTACCTGGGTTTGCCTGCTACTGTGCCAATATGGCAGCACCACTTAAGTATGCGGACTCAATGACCAGGGAAAAACTTATTCATAATTGTTGCAATAATAATGATTATATAATAATATAGATTTTTTAAATTAGATGTAATTTTTAAATTTAGATTTAAACTCTTTTGTAATACAAACCATTTCAGCCTTTGTCTGTTGTTTGTAATTTTATATGTTTTTTTATACTGGAATAAATAAAAAAATAAATTTTAGTTTAATAATGTATTGTTTGTTCAAATATTGTGCAAAGTTCAATTTGTCAATGTCTTAATTTCTAATCTTACTGTAGGTACTTTGGCCCTACCTGTTGGAGTTCTTGATACCACCACAATATACGACAGCCCTCGGTCCTATCTGTCGTAACCTTGCTTCATTGGCAGCAAAAAAACGCGAAGAACAATCTTTTGACTATATGATAGATTTTGAGGAACGAACAAACATTCCAAGGCCGGCAGAAATTATTGCTCGTCTTATGGTAAGTTGTTTGGGGCATTGTTTTCATTATGGGCTAGCAATTTTAAGGCTGTTTTTGCTATTTTTATTTTACTGATTTGTGATTTCATTCAACTTTATATATTGTTTTTTTTTTTTTTGTTGTCCAACATTGTAACTATTCTAAGAAAACAGTAGTTGTGAAAAAACTACAAACAATAATATTTCTTTAATATAATACACAACATTGTAAGGCTGTCTTGAGTCATGAATATTACTTTATATATTTATTATGTTCTCAATGTCCAATTTAATAGAATGTATAAATGAAGAATAAATTAGTTAGGAAGTCATGTACATAAATAGATCTAACTGAATGAGTCTATGAACTGTATGTGTTTAGGTGTTATCTGGTAGACCAGAAGAGTCTAACAACCGAGGGATTAATACTCTGAAGTTAATGCAAGCTCTCTCACCAAACATTGAAGCATCCATTGTTGACTTGTGGGATACCATTATTCCAAAACTTGTACAGTACCTGGAAGGTTAGTGAAATCTTAAGAAATTACTCAAATCAAATGTGATGTTGGTAGTCTATGAGTGAGAAACTTACCTGGATAAACTTTCCCCCACCCCTATCCTACTCTCTCCATCGTTAGATTCATCTCTAGGGAGGTAGTTTGCTTGTGGTGACCTGGGCAGTGATGGCACCAGGAATTGCCCAATGGGGGAGGGGGGTCCAAGGGTTTTGAAGGCTGTCACCACCCCTGGAACTTGGATGGAATGTACGATTTGAAAGGTGAACAATTTTAGTCAGTCTATCCATGTAGGCAATCAGGTTTCAAAGGGGCCACAGATTTTATTGTTATTATTATTATTATTATTATTATTGTCATTATTATTTATGAAAGGAATTGTCTTGTTGGTTTTTCAATGAGGACCGTATAATTCATATATACATTTACATTTAATATAGATAATCTAGATGATCCAGATAAATGGTCCCAGAAAGCATGGGAGGATCTTCTGTTAAAGGTATGTTCACATTTTCAGATTTTAATTTGCATGACTTTTTTTGGCTTGCCATACTTAATTCAAGTACTGTATACTTTAGTCTGTTTGTGTTGTACCATTAAATAGTTTTTAACAAAAGTTGTTTCCTACATTGATAGCTACTTTCTAAAACTTTGGATGAAGTTGAAGACGAAGAGTGGGTGTGTAACCTTGGAGTTGAATTTGGTAAACAGGTTTCTCTCTACACTGACAGTCCACGTGAAAAGGTAGGGAGTTGTATTATCATCATCATTATGTAATTATAAATTTCTTCAACAATTGTATGCTAGAGGCATCATTATCATGTTATAATTAATATTAATCTTATCTTTATCATCACTGTTATCACCATTAATAAACTCATTGTCATTACCATTTTCATAAATACTTTCTTTGAAAATGGTATAAAGTTTCCTCTAAATGATGTTTAACATTCATATTTTCTTGCTTTTAGAATTTCTTGTACAAATGTCTAGGTGTTATTATGAGGAAAGTTACAAAGAAGGATTTCGTTAAAAAGCACCTAAATATACTGTTCACAACTGTAAAACACACAAACCAAGTTGAACGAGAGGTAAGGATAAAACACTAGACTAGGCCTTTAATTTTTCCTTCACAACCTCTCCTCCTCTTTCTTCGTCCCTCACAAAATCAGTACTACTAGATGCACCACTTGAGGAGATAGGAAATTTAAATGAAGATGAAAAGCTTTTCTTTCCTAAGGAAACATACAAGTGGTTGGAGTGAAACCATTTTTGTGAAAGTGGAGGAGGGACACCCCTTTAAATCTGCCTCTAAGTGGCTAGTCTCAAATGTAACTTATGACCCATTCATTTAACTTCTAAAGCCCTATAGCAAGGCTATGTACCTCGTAAAGTATTTCTGTTGTTTTTCTTTCTTTTAAGGGCTGTGCCATAGGTCTTGGTTTCTGTGCTTCCTCACATTTGGATGAAGCCCTTAGTAAACTAGAGTCAGTTGCCAAGGAAGATATGTCTAGAAAATCAAGTGGCTTTCTGGGCTTGATAAAGGTAAATCAGAATTCTCAAATTTTAAAAATTATTTCATCCTCCTTTTCTGTGACATCTCCTTCCTTCTGCTTTAATCTCTTACTCTTTATCATTCTTTTATTTTTTTTAATACAATTATGTATGTTTGTATAAACATATGTACATTTTATAATATTTACAAAATATTACATTTAATATCAGGATAAATCAGAAGCTGACGTTGAGAGAATTAAAAGTACAATAATGCTTTGTTATGGCTACCTGACATTGTATGCGCCCCATGACCTTATAACCTCCAGGCTGGATACTAACATCTTGAGGAACATACAGCCACACTTCAATAACATCAAGGTTAGTTGGTTTTTCATCAAATTTTTAATTCCATTCAAATAATACAACAAACAAATATCAATGTTTATTATGAGATTTGTAAATTCATATCTACATTTAATGTATCAACTGTATTTGTTTGAAAATGAACATCTTTTATTAAATGTTGTCTATACAGGTCTTGTAGGTTCTATATCAAAAGATTCCTTCAAATATCTCTACCCCCCCCCCTTGTGATTGCTACGGATCTTGTTTCTCTACCCCACTATCCCCAAGCACAAATATATAAAGAATGTAGCCAAGACATATTGCGTAAGATGGTTTCCTTTTAATCACGGTGTCTGATTTCAAATTCTGACGTCACTACCTCCTAAGCCTTCTATTGAGACTTATTTTCATCGCAGATTTAATTCCAACCTGTGACAAGTCTCAAAATGTCTGTTGAGTATAGATAAGTAAAGTATAGTAAATAGTTTACAATCCTAGTATAATTATTAATGTATAGATATTGTATTGTATTGTGTACAAAGTATTCACCATCTCATATTCTTTATCTCAGGACACAACAGTTAAACAGAATTTAATCCTAGCAGTGGATTTGATCGGTAAAGCAGTCCAACCGGGACACTTGAGGGCGTCCTATAGTTTTAGTCGTAAAATGGAGTTAATGAATCACATGCAGATGTTTATGAAAAAAGAGAGTACAAAAGAGCTGACCACCAACACAAGAGCTCTAGCCATGGACGCTTGTGCAACTTTAGTGTATCCTTCAGAAATCTTTGTTTGGCAGCATGTGTCAAATCAAATCATATCATTCCTTATTGCAACACTCAAAATGGGTTGAATTTTCCAAAAGTAATTGTTCAAGCTTAAAAATCAAAACAATCAATTTTTATTATTATTATTAAAATTATTGTTATGAAAGTGGGATTATTGAAATAATTTTAATCACAGATTTTGAAAATAAACATAGCATTCGCCTGTGCAGACAGTTCTTACCAGCCTTGGAACTAACTAAAATTTAAGATAAACTTTTTTGATCATTCAGTTTTGACTTTTGGGAGAGTGAATTCTTTAGGTTTTTTCAGATGGTAATTGGAAGAGGGGCTTTAGGAAGGAGGTGGTGTAGTCTATGGGAAGGGTTCTTGAGTTTCTGGAAGTAATCGCTGCACAGATGGGTGCGCTGCTCAGACAACTCAGGAATATTGAACATGGTCAGTGTACTATGGTAGCTAAGCTCTGGAAAAGTACTTTTGAGAGCTCTGCGTTGGATCTATTCCAATTGGTCATATTGTGAATTGGTCAAACCTGTTCCCCATACCGAGGCAGCGTACTCTAATAATGGTCTGATGACACAACAGTAAAAATAACACAAAGCTTGTGCATCAAAGCCAGAACGATGTAATTGAAAAAAAATAATCTTGAATTTGCCTTAGATACTATGGAGTCAATGTGGGTTTGCCAAGATAAGTTAGCATGTATACTCATGCCAGCTTTGAACTGGTGTGTAAAAGTCTAAACATGTATGTATATGCTATGTTTTATGCAGGGTCCCAATCTCTTGCAAGCCACGGGATTCTCCCGAAAATCAGCCTCCGGCACTGCAGCAAGCAAGCATGATCTCCTGGGAAAACCATTCTCCTGCAAAATTCATAATATTTGCATTTTTGGCTAAATTCATTTTGAATTGTCTCACAGAATTCAGTGCCGATAGGTATCACCATGCAAACCCAAAATGAAATTAGATTTGTTAGAAAAGCACGTTTAATCAGATCTTCCAGAAGTGTTTTCTTGTAAGGCCATTTATGGATGTATGCTATAAATGTGTTATTTTTTGTTTAAAGATGTTTACGGGTACAAAGGTGTTTGTGTATACATGGTGTTTTCATATCAGCAGTATGTACATGTTGACTCTGTGTATAGGAGAAAAGTGTGTACTGTACATGGTGTTATATGTGTCAAGGTGTTTTACTGATGTATACATATGTTATTTCTTATAATGGTGTTTACTCATGTGCATTTAAGTGTATACTTGTGTTTAGGTGTGTATAAGATGTTTATAGTTGTTTACACTTGTTGGCAGGTATGTATGGAAAGAATATGTAAGTATGCACTCTGGTGTATATGTGTTACAGCTGTTATATGATGCTTATATTAATTTATATATGTTCCACATTAATATTGTTAACCTTAATATGATCCCAGTAAACTGGACCCATTACTAACAGAAGCAGAAACATTTGAATTAATCAAGACCAGTACAGACTGTGTGTTTAAACTGCCAAACTGTGTGTACCCTATAAAAGGAAAAGATGAATTAACAACTGAACAAATTAAAGACAGTGATGACTTCCTAGATGGTGCCCAAGGATCCTTAGTCAATATGTTGAAAGAAATCCTGTCCAAGAAACTAACACCACAAGGCATACAAGAAATATATAAGGTGTGTAGCGAATGCTTATCTGATGTAAAATAGTAGGATGCCTACATTATATACTGTATTTATTTGAATAAATGCCACACTCGAATCAACACCCTCTCAAAATCCCTTCACAACAATAAACACCCTAAATACGGTATATTAATCATGTGCCTCATATACTGTATGTTGGAGCTTGCGGTACACCACGTAGGTAGTTCTGAAAAGAACTGTTGTAGTTGATAAAGTCTTGACGTTTCGATTGAGTTGCTTCACTCGTCTTCAGGAGAATAATATCTACCTCATGTTTTGAAATGGATTGTTCAAGCCCTGCACCATGTATGTTGATGCAAAGTCCCACAGCATGATAGCATAAGTGTGTGTAAACATGTGCATTTGTGGGGGTTATTATTTCTCGGTTATTCCTGTGCTTAGAATTTTTCTATGGCGACTATGAATTTAATGTAAATTTTAATATCATCTCATTTATATGTCTCAATTCATACAAATACAATTTATTTTTCACTTTCATGATCATTATTTGTTATTACCGCATATACTCGTTTATAAGGAGACCTGTGTATAAGACGTCCCACGATTTTTTGACGTGTTTTTTTTGTATATCGGGTGTATAGGACGACTCACCTGTTGTGTTACTTGTTATGCTTTTATGGTCTTGATACTGCATCTCGCTGGCTAAAACGGAGTCAAAAGCAAGGCTAATCTTCTAAATAATATTATTTTATGAGTTTTTTTATGAAATTTTCATGAAATTCTTTATTTCATTGTATTTAAAATTGCGTTCATTATACTAACATCTAGTGGTTTGATTGTAGTAGTAAATTCAGGTGTTAGGGACGATCTGCACATACAACAAACATGATTTTAAAAATCTAAAATTTGTATGTCGTGCATATAAGACGACATCCTGTTTTTCGTCCGTAATTTGCTATTTTAAGCCCTGTCTTATATGCAAGTATTTACAGTATTTGTCATTCTTCTTAAGGAAATCAATAAGTATTACTTGCCCTATATGGCCTTTTTAATAAATAGTTATTGTATTTTATTTTCTATATGTATCATCAGCATTTGCAGCCTTGGAATGTTTCGGTGGAGAATCATGAAAGACAACGATCCATGAGAACTACTCTGCATCTCCTGCAATTCTATCATGAGAAAATGGCTGAAACTCAGGACATGGTAGGAATTATATCCCCATCATCCATTCATCCCTTTATTCTTTCCTACCTCCCCTCTCTCTGATCTTCCACATCTAAGGCATAAAATTATACAGATGTTTAAAGATACAATGATCAAGGATTTATTAAAGTATTGGTGTAATATTATCAGAGAGCTAAAGTACTTTGAAATATTTATGAGTTTTTATTTATGCTTTTTTGTTTTTATCTACATTGCAGGGTGGTATACAATTTAATAACCTTGGCTTACTACTTGGTAGCATTGTGCCTAGATGTTCTGATCCTTGTCTACCAGTCAGAGAGGATGCAATTGACTGTATTCAAGTCATTTTAAGAATTTCTCTCCGATATGATGGTATGTGGTTTACACTGTACTTTTCTGCAAAAGATTTAGTTATTGATCCAATAAACATTCAGTTTAGAGATGTTTTTTTTTGTTCTTATTAAACTGATCCATCAAATTTATTAGTCAGTGGTATCTCACTCATAGAAACAGGTATACTGTATATCCAAACAGAGTAATATTTTTTTGTGAGAAGGTATAACAAAATCTAAGACATCATAAATCATAAACTTCTTTATTTTCCTAGGCCAAGCCATAGACTATCAAGATCCTATAATAGAGGCCATGACTACACTACGAGATCGTGTTTCCAGGGGTGATGCACAAGTCTTGTTCAGTGTAGTAAATGACATGTCAAAGGTTAGCTACTCACTTGTATATTGAGCTTAAGAATAGTTACTATTATCATTTTATTATTATTATTATTATTATTATTATTATTATTATTATTATCATTATTATGTCATCATTAATATTATTATACTAATTCTATATTTTCCCCTTAGGCTCTCTCAAAGAAACTGCCATCCCACCAACTTAATGATTTCTTAGCCAATTTATACAATGGTTTGCTGGACAGCCAAAGCCATTGTTCCAGTGGTGCTTGTGTTGTTATCAACACCATCATGAAAACCAGAGGTCCAGAACTATTAGTTGAGGTACAGTACTGTTGTGTTAATATTTCAATTTTCTCAGAGTCTTGTTTTATTTAAACTAAGCTCTCCGAACTATTAACAATACAACATGATGAGACTTAGCATATTTACAGCATCTTATATTAATAAAGTATTGCCATACACAGGAGTAAAGTGATTGAGTTTGCTATTGGCATATTCTCGATTTTGTACCTAAAATAAAGATAAATAGATAAATACACAAATTTACACATTGCCATCAATAATAGCCAGGGGAGGTCTGGAGTTTTTTGTACAATCTAAACAATTTGTTTGATCAGAAGTCAAACTGAATGGGTCTGTATAACAGAAGTAATTCACACTTACGTTCACCTTGATACAGGTTGGGAATATAATTACTGCTTTACACACAAGTCTGCGTGCCATCACTTACAGCCAGACAAGGTCTGGAGTCTTTCGTGCAATCAGGACTCTTGCATCAAATCATCTGTCACCTGTATTTGAGAAACTCTTGAATTTCCCTCTACCCTATGATGAGTAAGTAATTTAAAGTTTTTCAATAAAAAATAATTATTAGCCTTTTTACTGTTTATTTTGTGTATACTTAACAGAATGAACCTATATATACCAAGTTTCCTTTTTGGCACTTACTATAATGAATGAGCTTTACGTAATCAACCTCTTTTTCTATTCACTTAGAAAAAATCACCAGATAGCCTAACTCCAGAGAATGTGTTTAATGAATATTCCAGATAGCCATTTAATTCTTGGGTGGAAATAGGCATTGCAAATATTGTATCATTGGTCAGATTTGATCTCTTGACCTTTCAATTTAAAGTTCAAAGTGTTACAACTGTGCAATAATTCTATTACCTGGTTGAGCCACTCTCATTATAGATTTTTGACTAAATAATAATAGATAAATGCATTATTTTTCAGACATATTACAGAATGTTGGCGGACCTTAGCTGTGGATCCAGTGCTGGCACAGGCAATCTTTGACGAAGTCATCGATATACTTAACCGACAAATTCACTATGAAGAAAAACGTGATCAGAAGACACAGAAGGTTTTAATGAAAGTGGCTAGCTTACTCCCTTTATCTGTAAGTTATTGTTTTTTAGTGTGTAGCCATATGTACAATAGAGACACATGAAGTGCTGTATTGCCCCGGTATTCAACCCCTGGTCCATGGGCCAAATCCAGCCCGCCAAAGATTTTGATCCGCCCCACGCAACATTGCTAAAAATAATTTTTCCGGCCAATTTTTATAAAAAGTTTCTCTGTTAATTGAAACACCATCTACTCGATCTAGCATTGTGAACTAAAATCTGGCTTTTTCTGAGTGTAGCTTACTGTATCTAGTGGCGTAGAGTATTGACATAGGGAGGAAGAGACCGATGGGGATAATGGATAGGGAACGCTGATATGATGCAGTGTCTAGCCATTTGCCAATCATGGTGGGGCTGAGGCATCTGTGGGCCCTTTTCTGGGGTATCGCACTCCTTGTCGGGGGATTTCGAAAGCTGGCATTTAAAAAAATTCTCATAATTTTTTGTGCTTGGGGTAGGAGAACCTGAAGAAGAAAAGAAAATTATATTCAAATTTAAGTCTGAGAATGCCATTTCTGACAATCGAGAGGTGCCATAATCATAAATTTTCTTACTCAGCCCTAACCAGAGTAAGGTGATATTTTCCCCATATCAGTGAAAGTCCCCTTCTATTTCAAATCCACTGCTGTAAAATAGAATGGGTGGGGCTGACATTGAAAAAAGTGTAAAGTACACAATTTATGTAGGCCTGCCACTGGTCTCAACAGATTGGAACTGGCCACCAGCTTAAAAAGTTTGAATACCCAGGCTGTATGGTGATGAAAAACTAATCAGAACCGTTTTGATTTTAATCGTGCAGCAGCACGCAGTATTGAAAACTGCATGGCTTATGACAACCTCTAGCATAAGCAAATTTCATTATAAAAGATCTTTACCCTGTTCATTCTAAAAATAACATTGTATTTTTTAGGCTGTTTGTGCCTTGACAGAAGTATTCTGTGTACCCGAGTCTGAAGTGAAGGTGGTGGAGAATTTCCACCGATTGTTCTCTGCTCTGATAATCTATACAGGATCATGCATTGATGTCAAACCAGCAAAGTTGTCAGATATTGCAGATGGGAAAGTGTCCAAGGAGAGAAAGGCTCAAATGAAGTTACTCGCTATGCTGAATCCCTCCAGGTTAGTCATTCATCTTGCTGCTTGGTAGGGTGTGTTGCTAACATCAGCCTTAACATTGGCACTGATTCAAGTAGTTCTTCACCCAGGCTTCAGTTGGCAGAACCAAGTCTGCTCGGATAAGCTCTTAAAAATGGAGGTCCAGTGTATGCATCTGGCACATGCATTTTTAAAGAACCCATTGCATATTTCAGAAGAGTAGGTGGACTACCTTGATACTCTGTCGCTGTGTGATGAAAGAAGCTATTATGCTGATTGAACATAAATTTTACTAGCATGATATAAAATTCCCCTTTCAAGTTATGGTCTGGCAATTTAAGTTTATAATTATTATATTTGCTCATATCATATATTTTGTATTATATTAGTGTTGCAATAGAGTCTGTGAGGAAGCTTCTTGAAAGGGCCAACTGTCGCAAAGTCCTTGAGGCTATAGGAGAGGAAGAGATGGTAAATTCATTGAGATCGGTTGATACGCTCCCAGAGGGAATAACAGAAATTGCAAGGTAAGTCCTAAGCTCATCATTATTTAAGCATGGTACACACTGCAGACAATTTTGTCTGTATATGGGTGTTGTAGTGGCATGCCTCTCCCCCTCCCCCCCAAAAAAACTGCCAGATACGCCACTGTGCACTTGCCCCAAACCAATGCCAATGATTAAATGCAGGAGGTTATTTATTTTTGTCTCCTTTTGCAGGCAATTGGTGGAGCACAATCCAGAGTTCGTAGGTAAGATAATGTCCTGTTTGAATCCATCACTGGCCAGCCTATATGAAAATCAAAGGATAGTTGTTGTTGCATATTTTGCTGAGGTAAATGGTTACACTTAAAAATATACTTTAGTAAAAATAAAATTGCATAATAAATTTGAACAGAAGTATTATTATTAGAATTGCAGATCAGGAAATACGATTTATAATAAAATTTATTTATTTGTTGTTTGTTTACTTGCTTACATATTTGTTTATTTATAAACCTAGGTTAATATATAGTATAGAATTCTAGTTCACCATTAAACAGGGTAGTAAATTTTGAACTGCTCATGTTGCTTATCACCCTGGACAGTGATATAATTTGTTTTTCTTCTAAATGGGATGGATATATGGTAAATAATCTTCATTTCTTTCACTTCTCCTGCAGCTTATAAACCAGAAATGTGCGGGTGACATGTCAATGGTTGAAATGATAGTAAACAATTTGTTGGGTCGTCTAGTTGATGCTAATCACATAGTTAGAATGCTTTGCATCCGAGGTCTTGGCAACATTGCAAGTACAGGAGAAGATCAGGTGGGTACAACATAACCAAATTAATTGTATAATGAAAATGCGTCATCTCATGTATGGTGGTGCTATTTGGTGTTATTAACTCTGATTCTTTTCGTGTATAGGTGCCACTCGTCGGCAAAGCTGTGTTTTCTATTGTTGTATATCTAATCAATCTGCAACTTTTTTGTTGGTGGATGTAGGTACAAAAGTACTGCACTACGGTGTTGTCAGCCATGATGGCAGGAATGGACGACAAGGAAGATCCAGAAGACAACATCACATTGGAGTCGATGTCAGGACTGTCGCGTATACTGACACAAATTGAGGAGAGCAGTATACGGCCAATCCTGGTAAACATCACACTCAGGATACGACCATGCTTTGAAAAGGTATGCAGTGGGGTTTTTTTTGCAATTACTCCAAAACAAGGCCATGTCAGCCAAAGTTTTTATAAAATTTTCATATCATGGTCATATTGTTGATTTTCATTTTTTTATGTGTAGGAACGAGCAAGTGTGAGGGCAGCAGCATTCCAATTGTTCGGTAGCTTGAGTCACTTTGGTGACGGGCCGTCAAAGGCACCATTCCTTGAGCAAATTCATACTAACTTTGTTAGTGTGCTGCTCCATCTTAACGACGAGGATTTAGAAGTCAGGAAGGTATCTACTTTATTCATGAGTTAATGGTGGTGATGGTAAATGATGATAGTATTGATAATGGTGAGGTTGATGGTGATGATAAAATGCTTTGTAACTGGAAGAAAATGCACTATATATATGCTTAACATAATATGATGATGATGATGATAATGATGATAATAACTTGTTGAGGATGATAGAGATAATATTAATGATAGTGATAATGTTGATGACAATAATGAATGATAACAATGAATATGATGATGATGATGATGATGATGATAATAATCTGATAATGATAATGATGACAATGATTTCCAAGTAATAATTATTATTGTATAATGATTGTACTGTATTTTATCTATTTTTCAGTCGTGTAAACATGCATTGCGTCAGTTTGGTCCATTGCTAGGGTCTGAAAGTATCAACGAGATGTTCCAGAAACATCTTATTGTTGACGGCCATCTTAACTATGGCGAGTTTATGTATGATCTTACAAAAGTTATTGTAAGTCTTTTCATTTTTTGCTAAATCCTCTTCTAATGATTATGTTTAAAAAATAGTCGCTACCAAAATAACTCTTTTTCCAGTGTGTTATCGATTAATTGATTGTAAATATTATATCCAGTAGTAATGTATAAGCTCCTTCGTGGATGCTTATTGTTTTCATGTTATTCTTCTCTATAATATGTCAAAAAGACAAAAGATATCAGGATAACCCATAAATATTTTTTGTTTTCCCCTTTCAGATTGCAGATTTTATCCAGAAGATTAATTTCTTTGTGATGGGAAATGTGTCTTTCTTCCGAAGTAGTTGGCCTGAAATCCGTAGCAACGCAGCAATATTTGTTGGTTTTTTGCTTGGCAACTTACCAAAAGCTCAACACAGCTTAATAACCAAGGACCATGTTTGTGGAGGTAGGTTAATGAAGAGGATATTTTGTGCTTTTGTGTGGATAGCAAGACATGTACCTCCATTTCATTTATTTATTCGACCTACAATTGCAATAAAATACAATATGTGGAAAAAAAAAATTTGTTAATGCTGGACAAGGGGTAGCTTAAGGAAAGTACATTGCTGTAACTCAGATGAGCCAGCTACCCATACTTCAACTAGGAATACTTCGAGTGAGAAAGTTGCTCACTGTGCATTGCTGTTTATAAAATAAACCATAACTTGCAGTGTCATTGTGCTGAATTGCATATGGGCGTGGTCTGTGACTACCTAGCAGCCGTAAAGCGGCGCTTATAGTAGCTACATGTTTGCATTAGTAAACAACGACCGGAGCTGAAATTGCTTACTAATAGAATGCCAGATATTTATGACAATAATATTAATGACTAATATGTTTTTTTTTCTTTTGCAGCTCTAACATTACTCTTAAAAGACCCAGTTCCGTCTGTCAGGATAAAAGCTGCAGAGGCTATGAGTCTACTGTTTGAATATTGATTACCTATAATATGTCATCACATTATGAATATTAATGAGCAGTTTCATCATGATCTGTACAGCAATCACTTATTTAATTTTCAATTTGAGTGGAATCAAGAATAATAAATATACAGTATGTTGCCAATTAGGTTTGAAATAACTACAGTATAAATGACTGTTATATATAGAATAAATTTACAAGCTATGGATATATTCAAATTACTCTAGCAAAGTCAAGTAAATAGTATATAATGTTAACAAGTTATGCATAAGATGTCGCCTGATTTTGTACCAAAAAAGCAGTTCAAAGTTCATGATATCTTGCATATTTGCGATCTTCCTTGGTGGGAATTAAAATCATAAATATAAAAATATGACAGTAAATTTTAAAGCCAACTATAAAAACTTGTCATCTGGTGCTAAATGTTCATTGAATATTTACCAAAAGATATGATTATTGTTTAGCATTTCAAAAGATGATTTTTTTACCTTGTTTATATTCCTGTTTTGCAGAATTGTAGTCTATTTGTAACTTCAAATAGAAAAGTGAAATTATATTTACTTTAAAAAGTTTATTAGTTAATATGTGGTACAACACTTGCATAATTAGAAATTTCAATTATTGATTTTGATTTATGTAAATATTTGTCAGTGAAACTATATTTACTTTAAAAAGTTTGTTAGTTAATATGTGGTACAATACTCACATAATTAGAAATTGCAATTATTGATTTTCATGTAAATATATTTGTCTTACATTTTTTTTTTTACTCATTTATTAGGATAAATTTAGTATTTTTCTGATATATGTTTATGACCGTAAAGTAAAATCTATTAAATCATAGGTACTTTTTTATCAATAATTTTAATAATTACTTTTCAGCAATAATGATGATTTAATCTGTTTCGATTTAATGTGATTTTTAGGAAAGTTTAAATATTTTTTGTAATTCATTAAATTTTACAACTCATGTCATAACAAAAACATTACATAATATGATACTAAAATGCACACAACACAGTTTTTAGAAGGTTTTGTCTTTCATTATACAGTTGAACTTGCCTAAGTCAAATCCAAAATGACATTGAAAAATTGTTCGACTTAGATAAAATTCGACTTAGATAAAATTCGACTTAGATAAAATTCGACTTAGAGAATGTTAAATAATGGAAAACACAACAATTTGGCATGTAAAATAAGAAAGACTTAGAAATTATTCGACTTAGGCAAGTTTAACTTATATACTTTCACGTATTCTGTTGCTTTGTGTACACTAACACTGAAATACAAATAGGAATACGATAGCAAGTTGCTTATGGCTTTTGCACAATATGCATTAACTATTCCTAGTAAGGACATCCAGTTAATCTTGGAGGCCTTATATGCTATGTTCTCACACGGCAGCTAACGGTTAGCAGGATCCGGAGCCTGCTAACCGTTAGTCTATACGGGAAAATCCTGATCCGGATACCAAGAATATGATGATCGAATCACTGGCCAATAGGAAACTGGAAATTGTAAACGCGTACGTGTGATTGGTTGATGATAGAAACGCATTCAACTTGCTAACCGATAGCGCTTGCTAATTGTTAGCGGAATCCTGATATTGCTAACGGTTAGCGCTAACCGATCTGGCATTCTCACACAGGTGCTAACGGTTAGCTTCCGATCCGGATACTAGGGCTCTCTTGAGAACCTGACCTTTATTAACTAAAAATTAATTTAAACTAAACATTATCAACTATGCTTCCATTCTTAATTAAATGGAATATAATCCAAATATTGACAGTAGGTTGTGGTTTGGAAAGATTTCAAGAATACAAGAATGGTAAAAATTTACTGCATTGTGAATATATATATGAATGAATGTATTTTAGATAAGGATTGTCTTGAGTTGTCATGAGTGCCTTAATCATGTTGATCTAGAAAAACAACTCTATATGTTATTGATAAGTAATCTTAAGTATCATTTAATTAATATGCATAGTGCAAAGTAAGAAATCAAAAAATATCAAACTCTTTTGATTCTTTACTTTAGTTTGACCCTTTGTTTGTTGAATTTGATCATTTATGTTCTTTGTTACATTCCTTTTAGCTGTGCCTATTACCAGTTTATGATTTTTATAAGACCAAATATTGCGGAGGTGTACCTCAGTGGTTAAAGCTGCACTGGACTTTTAAAGCGAACATTACAATGGGTAAATCTTACTGCTTTCCGCACTTGGATTTTTTGAGTGGATTCATTTTACTGCGAGAAATGGTAAAACTACCTGAGTGTTCAAAATCAAATATCAAAGGGCAATATTCCATGACCTTCACATAGGCCAGAAAGGTATTCCATTGAGTAACGTTTGAATAACTTGGGAAGTTTAACTTTTTGGCTTGGTAAAACTAACCTTGTCAGTTTTACTGGACACAGTCCACTCGGTTAAGCTAACTGCTTGTTTTCCTGAGATGCAAGTGTCCTGGACGCTTAAGGTACTTAGCTTCTCAAACTAAAGCTGGGTTCACAATAGATTTTGAACAAGACAAAGGCTACTTTTTATTTGGCTAAATCTTGCTGTTGTTTGCACGCAAGAATGCAGTAAATTTTACCAAGAAAAAATCAATCAAGTTCTTTTTATCAAAAGGAAATTACTTGCTCAAATGTATTGTACAATCATAGTGTGCATGATCATAGTGTGCAGAAAAAGTGAAATGAAATTGTTGATTACGCACAATACCGCCACTTGGCATTTCTGCTTGAAAAAACTATCGTGGGCACAATTCAATCTGTTAAATGCACAGCTTTGGGGTAATTTTACTAAGGAGAAGTTAAGTTTATACTGTATCCCATCACCTTGTGTAGCTGCAAGTTTTTTTTTTGTTTTTTTTTGCTGTAACATGTGAAAGAAATTATTATAGTAATAACAGTCTAGATTCTGTGTTCATTGATGACTACTCTAACCACCTTCCATCATTATGTTTTGAATGTATCTTTGTGTAAAGCATTATTGTTTTTATGTATGTATTATATATTTTTGGGTGCAAGGTAAACTGATTGATTATATTTTTGAGGATGTGTATTTATATCTAAAATTGGATTGGTGTCAGTAAATGTAACAGTGTATCAGCACTAACTGCAGGATCACAAAGCCAACAAATATATTGAAGCCAAATTATAGTTAACATATAATATGAATAATACAAAGATCTATATGTACTGAAAACAAAGGAACAAAAATAAGAATATTGTTTACAGGTAAATAATATAAAACATATGTAGTTTGCAGTATTGTCAGCTGAATACAAAGATTATATAACATACTGCTATGCATATGAGTATAATATTAAAAGGGAATTTATGTATATCAGTAGCATATCAGTAGCATACAGTTAATTTGCATATGTGTCATGTGACAGGTGCATTAACACACTGTATGAAAGATCATGATCATGAATCGGGACGTAATTAAATTTGCTATCCAAGCCTATTTCTCTTCTTTGAATTGACTGTTTATTAACACACAAGTACAATATATTATCATATATCTTTGCCCACCTACAGTGTGAGTATGACTGTTGGGCTAAGACTGAGTACTGTAATGCGAGTGACAATTATATTTAAATAAAAGTGAGGTGTGAATAGTAATTAAAGATGATGAAATGAGTAATATATGGGGCTTGCTGTGCCAAAACATGCATCGGTGACCAAATGAAAAAAATTGACTTTTTAATATACAGTATTCATATTATTGTCCACATTAGAAGCTTTAAAATGACAGGTGAGTAAATGTATTAAATTATTATTGTATTTACTAAAATTATACAATAATGCCACATGCTTTAATAAGCTAATTAGTTAATTATACAGAAATGTAATTTTTAGTATTCATACATACACTTGTAATGATTAGGTTTCTGCATAGAACATACATTCAATTTAAGGATATATCATTTATATGAGGGTGGGCTAGCCCGAGTATATCGTAAAACCAACAGGCTTCTGTGGTATAGCAACATAATGCTTGCCCTGACAGCTTCAATTCTTGCCAGAAATACTTTCATTGTATTTGAACAATAAGGATTTTTTTGCTGGGATGCTCTGTGCAATTATAACATTTTGTTCCCTATATTTGTAACTGTTTTTAAACATTTACTTATTTGTAATCATTAAAATGAATAGTGGATTTGCACACTTTTATATACTATACTTCCATTTCCCATTCATTCTTCTGTTTTGATGTAATTGATTACTTTCGCCACTAAATCTACTTTCTTATCTTTACTCTTTACAGCGATTCCTTTCTGCTTCAACCAGACAGACAATGTCAATGAATTTACTTTGCTCAGCTGGAGAAAAGAAAACAAATTATGACTTGGTAATCATTCATTGTGTGTTGTATAGTAGTAGTACGGTAATAAAATATTTAGGTAAAAAAAAGCATGGTACAGTATAACTAAACACACACAAAAAAATCCGATATACCATGTATAAGTATAATATAAATCATCAAAGGTACATATATACAGTATGGACTTTATTCGTTGAAAAGCTACAGGGTAGCCTACGATCTTCCATCATGTCCTTATTTAAACACTGTATATGTACCTTTGACGATTTATATTCTATTTATTCAACAGTGTTAACGGCTAACTCCCTTTCAATACCATGTATAAGCCTTCTAAAAGCAAAATAACACAGACCTTGTTTTCTAATGCAAGTTTTTGAATATCCAAATTTTCTTGAATCTTTGGTTTCTCTCTGGGTTTCTTTGGAGTGTTGCTGTTTTCATCGACCTGATAAGAAATCACATTTAAAATTTTCATAGGGAGTTTGCAATTAAGAGATTAGTTGCTGCTAGACATGATAGAAAAAACAGAATAAACATGGACACAAGGATTGTAGACCTCAGACGTAATGTTACACGCCATTATCATTTTGTTCTATTAAAGAAAAATAAGAGAAACGAATGTTAGTCAATGATTAAGTGACAATTATCCCTTGGACAATTACTTTTGTCTACAGGGAAATTGTTTTGCGATAAAGTCAAGTAGCTTGTTTCAATAACAGACTTCCTACCTGTAATTTCTTCCTCTTCACTGCTTTGCTTGAGATCACTGGAACAGTATTCAGTTGAGGGTTTAGTACACTGCTAGAGTTGCTCCGATAAGGTGTATGTATAGAAGCATTGCACTTTGAAATCCCTTGAAATGGTGACAGTGTTGGATTGATCCTAGTTGACTTGTCTAAGGACTGACATGAATTATTCACCAACTGTGATCGGCGAGGTGTATCTGATGTCACAGACTTTTTAACCGGATTGAATGATGGCTTTGTAGTTGGATAGACTTTAGTTGACTTGCTCAAGGGTAGAGCTGACTTAATCACTAACTCAGATTTTTTAAGAGCACTTGTCGATTTTTTAGCTGGCTTGAATAATGGAATGATGGGGTTGTTTAAGGTTGTGCTGCTCACGGTCGAACAACTTCTACCTTGCTGACTAAGGTTTGATGAAATGTTCTTTGAGATCTTTGATCTAAATATGGGTATGATTTTTTGTGACAATTGATGACTATCATAACTAGCTGATTTGGAAACAACAGCAGCTTCTGCACTATTGTTACTGTATGTTTGTTGTGACGTGTTGTTATGACTGATATTCATCTCTGTGATTATTGTGGTTGTTCTGTTTGAAGTCTCAACACTCAATGGCTTGATGGGTGGCACACCTCGTGGCAAGATGGTTGGAGTTGTTGTTAAATTGGCTGCCAATGGTTGAAAGCTCTGAAAACCATAAATTAAATTGTAAAAGAAAATGTTAAAAAATAATGACAGAAATTAGTTATTGGTTGACTAATCAGCTCCATTTTTGCCCTTTCTTTTTTGTCCCTGTTGGGACCACCACTGCTTCTCACCTGTGATCCAACCTCTTGCGCACCTGTCACTGGATACCTTGGCTTTGTGGTCAGGAGCATCTGACATCCACACAATGATCCCACTTTCTTTTGGAAATCCATCACAAATGTCTGCAAGACCAACTCATGGTCAACACGTGGCAAGTAAACCACATCAAACTTACGCACACACCAATGAGGATATCTGGGGACTGATGTTAAGGTGTTGAACTTATCAACAAATACACCGATTGCTATACTTTTGTGATCAGCTGTAGATCCATTTGCACAGACGCTGGTTCAATTCCATCAATCTGGTTAGCCTCCGATGCCTATTTCTTTCATTTCTATTATATATACAATTAGTTTTTTTAAATAATCATGAAAATTATTCCAAAGGATACGTAAAGAGTATTGGTCCTATGGCAGGGAAATGAATGTTGCAATATATAGTTCCTTCTTCATCTTCTGGCAAACGATATCCATACTGAATTTTAAAGAAATAAATCAACATATTTTTAAGAAAAGGGTAACAAAAATGATGTACACTAATGGAATAATATGGCTTACAAGGACACAGTTTTTGTAATGAAAGTGCATAACCTACACTACACGGAACACACAAAATGTTAATGAAGGGGCATAAGGCTTTGGGTGCAACATGCAAATATTGTGTATGTTAATGAAGGGGTGTTGCTTACATACCGTATTCTTCCAGTATCTTCGGATGTCTTTGTAAGATTTAAATGGACTTGTGTCCGGTATGGAACGGGTAATGTTCACCACCTTACCCAGCTTCATGCTAAAATTAAAATAATTTAAAATTAATCCAAAAAACTACAAATTCTCCACCTATATAATATAAATACACATTACTTTAGATACTGCATTCAATTATTATTAATTAAATTTAATTAAGATTCTTATAATCCCAAAGGCATCTACATTGTTTTTATTTATAATTTTGATAGTGATGATAAAAAATTACCTTGGTAGAACATGGCACCATTTATCATCAATGGAGAATTCCTGAATCACATAATATTTTGACTTTGAAAAATGATTTAAAATAGGTTGGCAGATTTGAAAATCTTGGAGCTTCAATGAAAATAAAATAGCATTTACTGTAAAAGCAAGACAAGGCAGTTTACAACCTGTCAACTTCATCGAGAGAAACAATCTCTAAGGCTCTGTCCACACTATCAAATTTTATTTGACAAAAAACTGTTGTATGCCCATATATAGTCATGATGTGCCTATATATGGTCATGATGTGCCCATATATAGTTATGATGTGCCCATATATGATCATGATGTGATTTTCTTCAACAGTTTTTTGTCAAAGAAAATGTTGATAGTCAATGTAAAGCTTGATTTTCATAAATTGCTACACCATCACTACTGTGTTTCCACTGCAATCGACGCTGCGTAGCTGTTACCGACGAAATCAAGAAGGCTTCCAGATTCGACGGACGCATCAATGTCTATGATAGCATGTAGCGGTTATATTGAAATCAGGCTTAACTCACAGTTCAAAAATGCTTAAAATTTGGATAGTTCCAATCATGTCTTTTAATTCTTCTAATCATTTGTTTTTTTTCTTCTCTAACTGTTAGAATTTTAGAAGAATGTCTAAACTACTTCATGTATACCAGTACTTTGTAATGAGTACTAACCCTAAATGGTGGCAACCTGATACCCTTTGGTTGTACTGCTAAGCATATCTCAGACTTACTGACAGTGAGCTCAAGTCCTGTGGTGTAAAAGACAGTACAGTACTAAAATATTGATGAGAAAATTCATTCTACATAAATAGTACAACAGAGGGGAGCACATATTTCATGAGTTGGGGCTTTCAATTTACAAAAGGGATTTAAAAAACCCAATAAATCTACTATTTCTACAATAAATATTTCTTTTCATTGGACTATTCCACTTCGGAAATTGCTGCAGCTGACGAAAGATGCTCATTTAAATTCTAGGAATACAGGTCTTCTTCCAATTAATGTCCACTTTTGAGACCAGGCACCAGATTTATCAAACTAGAAACCAGCTTAAATTCGTATTAAGTCCATTTTTGCTTAAAATTTCTTAGCTTAAAAATTGCTTAAAATTAAAAAGTTGATTGTATGCATGCACCATCTAAGATAAGATTTTGCTAAAAAGATGGTTTAATAAATCAGTTTAAGATATTTGCTTAGGGACATCTTAAAGTTTTAAACTTGGGAAATTTGCTAAGTTGAGATTGATAAATCCTGGACCTGGTTTTCCATGATCTTTAGCAGCTTTGGTCTCTAACTAGAATAATAAAGATAAAAGACATTTGTGAATTTGGGACCACGAAAAATTGTCATAATTGGAGGTGGTCTTTAATTAATTTAATTACAACAATAACTTGTATCTTGTATTAGAATTTTCTTCCACATCTAACAGTATATAAACTTATTATAATAACGTAACATCATACACTTACTTAACGCATTACATCTTGATGATGAGGATAAAAAGTCCCTCCCTTGAATGTAGATGTCACCAGATTTGTTCCACAGTGGTGCCAGCTTTGCTCTCAGTGTGTAGGACAGGCATGCTTGTAGCACTGCATTTGTTACTGGTATTGCATTGTCATGCTGTCAGTCATTCAATCAATTAAGCCGTCAATCAATAAATTAATCAATCAGTCATCAAATTTTGTGCACAATCTCTTTGTTAGTACAGTATAAGTTCAAGATGGTTTTGTGCCTTTTTTTTAAATATGTGCCACAATCAAACTTAACTATAACAGTTTCACAGGGGTCCCAAGCCTCCCGCAACTCGTGGGAGAATCCCGGAAATTGGGAATGCCTCCCGCACTCCCACAAGCAAGAATCAATCTCCCGTAAAATAACCCTCTCCTGCAAATTCACGATATCTGCATGTTTTTACCAGTACAGTATTTAATACTGCCAATGGATATCACCATGTACATAAAATAAAAAATATATAATCAGAATTGTTAAGAAGCTGATTTAAACAGATTTCTGATTGTGGATTTTTTCAACTTGGGACCCCTGACTTCAAACAATCTGACAGCAGCTTAATTCTCCTTGGGCCCCTTGTTCATTATCACCACTGCTTTGCTTATCATGCTGTTACTATCCCATTTACCAGCAAACCCTTTAAAAGGGCATTCAGGCGGGTTGGTGAACCAGGTTTTGCCAGAATCTTATCTCAGTAATCCAATTGAATATCAAAGAAGAATACCTCTACTTAAGAGTCATTATCACAGCAGGCATTGCTGTTTCTCAATAAATTACCAGTATAGTATTTAAAAACCAGGTTGGAAAATTTTAAAAACCTGTTGTTCAAAAAAATTTGGCATTTTTATTACCTTAGCTATAATTTCAAATAAAAATCATAATAGATATGCTTTTGAATTTTAAAAATCAATTACTTATGTTAGAAGTTACAACATGGTTTTTGATTTAATTGTGCTAGTCTTCTTATGAACTATTCACAACTAATGAGCTTCACTGTTAATCTTGTTACAAAATTCCCTGAAGCAGTAATTAATAGAGATAAGAAGAGATTGGCAAAACCTGGTTCAAAAATTGAAAATTTGGTAAATGGTGAAGTTTCCTCATGTGTTTCAGCTGGAGGGCTGAAATACAAATCACAATGCACCTTATCTTGGAAGTCCGTTTCTGTGTGCAATATGGTTTTGTGCACATTAAAAACAATTCAATTTTTGAAAGGAATAAAAAAAACAATTACCCACCACTACAACAATAATATTAATAATTAATGAATAGAAATATTAATAAATAATATTAACAATGATTTTAATAATAATAACTAAATATTGGCAATGCTAGATGTAAGATGTTAACTGTATCACCAAGTTAATTTACCATGAGTCCCATTTTCAGAAAATGGTTTTGTAGTATACCAGTGTTCCAATAGCCTTGATGTACCACAACAAAGATAAATCCATCTTCCATCAGACAAGGTGATGCAATCACTAAAGGTTCAGTAAAGATGAGCTCTCTGAGAAATAGGTTTTTTAATTAAAAGTCTTTCAACTAATCATTCAAATAAAGTTATACGTTTTCTGCAAATAATATTACTACATTTAAAATGATCAATGGCAGACCCAAGTGGTGGAAAGTGTGCTTTCCCCACAGCACATTAAAACCCGGGATCATCTTTACCTGCATTTCATTATTTGTGGCCTCATTTTCTGAGTAGCTCCGCACTGTTGCTGATCATTAATTCTAACTTTCACCGACCATAGCTTATCAGCGTTGGCAAGATTTGCAAAAAACAGTGAAGATTGAAGTCTGGTATTTTGAGAATACATTTTTCTGCTGAAGCCTAAAATAATTATTAATGATAAAAAATGAATGAATTACTATTGCAGTTTTAACACTTTTCATCAGCAGGTCATATCTGCAAAGTTAGGTGTCACTTGTTGGCTTGAGACTCAGTCTACATCCACCTAAGCCCCACAACTATTTGGAGGAGGGGACGTTAGTGTATAGTACTCTGTCAGCATAGGCCCTTACTAAGACTATTCCTAACATGCACTAGCCTACCTGGGAAGCAGACCTGGTTACTGGTAGGCCTAAGCCTAAAACGTTTGCTTACACTTGCTTACACTAACTAGCTTATGACTACTACGACTAGGCCTAGGCTAGGCTTCCTAGCACTATCTAGAATAAGTCTATTATAAAATTGTTTTAAATAATACATATACCTAGGGCCTAGCTCAGCATTTGCCAAGATAATGTGTTTTTTTTTCAGGTGTCTTTATTATCAAAAATTGGAGTAGCGCACCGCAAACCAACACGACAAAGAAACTACGGTTATTTAAATAGTACTAAAAAACGTCTGTAGTACGTAGCCTATAGAAACTTTTAGGAAGTATATAATATGGGCAGCAAAATGAGCCAAAAGCGAAAATAGCGCTGTCTTTAATCAACTTTCAATAAGAAAGGTATAAAAACAATTTAATTTACAATGAAAATACTTTTAAATCAATTTAACATTTGATTACGAGCCAATTCAAGGGTCTACAGTATGCACAAATGCAGGATCAGAAGAATATTCATTCACTCAAACCTTGCTCAAACAAGGCATACGCTTCAATTCTTCAAAAAGAAAAGTTAAGATTAAGTTAGATTGGAATTAAAACTTAATGTTATTTACTTGGCAGTGTATTATTAAATACAACTTTATTATGCAATTATTACTTTACATACAAGTGTGCATATTTTATATTTGAGTAGTAAATATGAATTTTTGAGTTGCATGAAGCATTAACAATACCAAGTATGTGCACATGTAGTTCTTTTTGTACTGCATTTCATTATTATTGGACCCCCAGTGTACTACCTTATATCAAATCATAAAAATAAGTCTTTAATTATTTCCGACATATTTCCAGGGGTCCCAATTTGGAAGCCTCTTCACTGTTCTGTATTTTTGTATTACTAATGAATTCAAAATTAACTTAAAATGTGATATATTGTAAACAATGAAGATGTTACTTACATATTAGGTCATATTGTCATTAATACTGTATTATTGTACTGTATATTGTAATATTTATACTGTATAGCGAGACTGTACAGCACACAAGAACGATAGCACCACAAAGTAGTATATAAATTTCACTTTTATTTTGTATTCATGATGATTATCATTAAATACTTCAGCACTACTATAAATGGTGTATATTTAACTGTACTCCCAAATACTCAACCATAATAGTGTACTCTATACAAATACTATGTCAGGTTTGAAAGTAACATATTTTTACATAAAGCTCCTAAATTCAGTTACTCACAATGGAGATACAGTACTATGTATCATTTAAAAAACATCATTAGTCAATTAACTTCTGACAACAGTGGATCAATACCCGTCTGACAGGGTTTGGAAATTTTCCCGACTTTACCATTGGTGCTGCCATTGATACAGAGAGTAACGAACCTTGTGAGTGCTTTGCATCCTTCGACAAAAAAGCACTACAAAGCTGTATATACTGCATTACCATTTTAAACAAAAATATATACTAGTTACTTCAATCTGTTTTAATAACGTAGTGTTGTAGAATGTTTTGTTCAACATGATCCTCATGGGATGGAAATTCTACACTACTGTAATTATAGAGTATTTTTGTATATTATGTTGTTTATTTACTTTGTACGAATGCTATGCTGTCTTGCAAACTTCTTGAAAATTAAAATTCAATTAAAACATTGAATTAGTCATTTAAAATGATCAAATAAGTCATCACTTCCTAAGACACAAATTAAACAATTCAAATTTTTGCTTATTCTGGGCGAAAATATATGTTGAATAAGTGTAATAAAGAACCTTGATTCATTATTGCTCGTCATTGTTATCATTATCAATTCAACCAGTCTGGTATTGACAACATCACATTATTCATGGATGTTAGCAGTTAGCATCTTGGGATGTTGTAAACTATTTAATCAATAACTTAATTGATAGTACTAAGAATTTATTTGACATTTTATTTGTTGCCGTTTTGTTTACCATACAGGGGTTTGGCCTTTGATCCTGATACTAAATACATGTTGAGCTACAAAATATTTACTTGGTGACCTGCAGTATCTGTGTCCAGACTTCTGTCTGACCTTTGACTGGTTGTATTATGTCATGCTGAAATGTAAAAAAGTAAACCACAATTAATCACATAATTTAATTGTATAGTTTTGAAAAAAGGGATACATGGTTTGGGGGTGCTGTCTCTTATACACATCTAGATGTGTATAAGAGACAGGCTAAAATAGCGCTTTAAAAGGTATAAAAACAACCAGTGGTAAAGATGGTTGGCCCTTACCTGTCAATCAGTGACTCTCTCATTGGCGCAGCAATTCCTGATGCTTTTGTGTCTCCCAACTTGAACACACTCTCAATGACAGACAGTTCTATGCTGGTGGTGTCCTGGCCACAGAATGCACACCAATCATTAACAACCATGCCAGCACCGATGACATCACACCCACGATTCACTGTACCGGCCTAAGCATTAACAATACATCAACAGTTATATAACAAAAGTAATAAATTAATTAATAAAATCATGATATATGACACATATAATGATGATGAAAATGTTTATGATAAGGAGAGTAATGATGATGATAATGAAGATGATGATGAAGATAATGACACTTGGATGCATGAAGTCATTCTTACCGCTAATGGTATTTGTAGAAGAGATGAAAGTTCATTTTGGTCTTCTATCTTTGTTTTTGGATGAACCTGTGTAAGAAAACACAACTTAAATTAAAATAACTTCCTTAATAGTAATTATCATTTCTCCTCAAGGGTTCAGTATGCATAATATAATAATAGTCATAATGTACTGTGTGACAGTATAAGATAATTTAAAGATTATGAATATTTATATTAAAATATAAGATAATTATATAATCAAGAATATTTAATATAAATGAAACATCTTTTTAAACATCATTTATATTTATATAATATAATTGGATAATTTAATTTTGAATATTTATATAAAATAATGAAACCACAATTTATATAAAATAAGATAGTTTTAAAGATTATGAATATTTATACAAAAATATATATATATGATAATAAATCAATCTTACCAATCCCCCTTGGTTACTGAGTGCACAATAACTACCAGTGAGAACATTGTCTGCAATAGTTTGCCTAAATACTTCAACTTTCAAAACATCTGCTAAAATTTCTTCTGTTTCCTGAGAAAAAATATTCAAAGAATAAATCAAATAATTCCCACACCAATTGACATACACATAAATAGTAGTATTACCATATTGAATAGACTGTAAAATTGGTTGAATGAAATAAAAAAGACAACAAAAACTGAATCGTTTCAACCCGCATCTCATTGGAAGATAACACATTTGAATGATTCATAAGCAGTTGAAGGTTTTAATTGAATTTCACAGCCAGTATAATCTTTAAATGATTTGACGTTGAACACTTTGTGGCATTTTAATGGTAATAAGGGATTACTATCCTAAGTGATTTCACTTGACTTGAGTTTATAACTCTTAATGATACACTATCTGGCAATTAAGACACAAATCAGGATCTTCATACACATGCTTTTCACTATCCACCTCCAAACAAAAGAGGGTGCTACTGACTGTAGTTATCATTAAAATAGATTTGTCAGCATTATCATCATATAAAATACTGCAAAATCATCAAGATTACATATACCATACCTTATCTAGATCTGTATGTGCTAGTGCTACATAATCATTACATGCAATAACATTCCCTAGAGCTGACAACTTCTCTTCCACTCGTTGGATTTTAACAGAATCAGGTAGCGAGTTACGAATGTGCTGAAGTTCTTGATCAGTTGTGTTACTTGGTACTAAAAGGCCATGCCTGTTACCTACAATAAAATGAAAAACAAATTTAGATAATTAAAAAAAAAAAAAAGTATTTATGTTTGATTGCTGGCTTTTGCTGCAGCCACTATTTCTTCTTTTTTTTTTCTCAGCCCAGGAAAAAAAACATCTTGGTTATTGAAATAGCAAATTTTTGTAGTCCTTTTCTGTGGCATGTGTGAACATAAGCTTCAAATTAAAATATCATTGTTTGTAAAAAGAATGTCCGATAATGAAATTTAGAAAATGATTTTTTAGTAATAGTATCAAATTATCTTTTTAAAAATAAAACCAGTTCTACCGCAATTATTACGCGACTATTGAATAGTATACTTACCAACTGTTAAGCGCCCAATGATTCTACAATCAGCAATTGAGCAACGTACAACTGGTATGATATCGTCCAATTCACCTTCAAACACACTGATTTGTAAAAAGAAAATGTACAACTAAATATCATGTCATAGTATTATACTGTAGCATAGGTCCAGACTGTAAATTAGTAAAGCCTGTGTGGGAAATACATCCTCCGCGCAAAAATATGGCCTAGAAATCTGTCCGCGCATTTTCGGAAAGTAAAGGCCGGTTTCCGCGCAGTTTTTGCCGAAAAATAGGCTTTGACCAAGTTTTAATAACCAATGCAATTATGTAGCAACTACGATTCCACACACTTATTTTGCTAGCGATTTTCCGCGCAAATTTGAGCTGATTTTTCAGGTATCCTCTGCGCAATTAAAAAACTTTACAGTACGGGCGTAGGTTCATTAATTAAAAGTCTCAACAATCTTACCTATTACAATGATACTAATTGTAATGATGACAGTCCTAGACTCAATACAATCTGAATCAATCAGTACCATTATAATCTAAAAGAACTAGATAATTAACAGGAGGCCTATCTTTTTATTATGAATATCTGTTATCTGTTATCTATTATTATTAATCATATAGGGCCTAAACAAGTTCAATCCCAAATTAGTTCCTATTAAAATTATAAGGCAAGAAAATCCAAGTTTCTTAATAACACTAAGCACTACGTGTAAGGCAAGAGGACACATGGTCTAGGAATTTCTGCATTGCTCCATGGCTGTTTAACTAAACTAGGGCCTGGGCATAGCTAGGCCCCTAGCTAGAGCACAGTGGACTCGAGCCACTCGAGCCTACATTTCAAACCTTGCATGTGCACCGGTGGCGTTTCTTACCTGTAGAAATTCTCAGAACCCCCAATTGCAACTAAAGCATATGCATTTGTGAGCTTAGAAAATACACCAATTTCATTGTTGTTTTCAAAAGAGGTACGCAACGCCATTCTGTTCAGATCCAATGCTATGAAATCAAGCGATATGTTACTTTTAAAATTGAAAATACTACACTCGTATCACAACTTTATGAATCACGTTGTTTCAATTTGCTTGTGCAATGTTTTGTGTTCGCAAATGTCAAGGGTTAACCCATATAATAGATATTTTAAATAGTCTAAAATATGTTATCGGAATTGTATATTTATTTATTGATATGTAACAAAATATTAAAATTTATTGATATTACATTATTTAAAATAATTTTTTTTAATCCAATTTATAAGGCCTAGTTTTTGTATTATTCAATACAATTTTAATTGAATATTGAATGTCGGCGGCCATAGTTACGTTCACGGCCATAACAAAATTGTCGCGATAGAGGAAAAAAGGTGTTTTTGCAGAGATTTTCTAGTGCTTATAAACCATGGCAGATGATCTTGACGACTTATTAGATGAAGTTGAAGACAAGTACTGTGAAAAACAGTCACCAAAAACTAAACCAACGAAGAAAAGCATTGTCAAATCCATTACACAAAGGTAGGTAGGCTAGCTTAGCCTGGCATTTTAATAACGTACCACCAGTCTAGCTGGTTCAGGCAGACTGGACAACGGTCTCCTACCCTAACGACTTAACGCTGACTTGGTAAGTTGGCCTAGGCTAGGGCGGAGGTCAGGCCTATGAAATGTATGCCCCCGCCCCCTTACTAGAAGGTCCAGATTTATTTGAATGCCTAGTAGGTTAGCATCGAGGCCTAGATTATTACTAGATAGAGGGATAATAATAAAGTGATATTTAGCAACTATAATATAATAATATAAATAAAAATTAAGGTTATGGTTGAATTGAAGTGCGCCCTCACCAGTCACTCCCTCTGGGGAAGCATTTGTGAAGTGGATCTACCTTTTTGAGATATCCCGACTAAAGGAGTAGAGTATGTTGATTTTGTATCGAAGTATTAAAAAAAATACTACTATTATTTATTACTAGAGTTCCCGTTTAAATGAACATATGATTTTAAATATATTCACAGGTCAAAGAAATGCCAACTTGATGATGATATAAGTGCAATTATTGACGATGTTGATGATGAACCAGAATCAACGGTATGATTTCAAGAAATTCAGCTTTAAGCCTTAAATTGTAATTGCTGTCTACATAGTCAGTTCAAGTGCATATCTGCCAATACAATTGAATATTCTGTTTAACTCAATCCCGTATACATATACCATAGAGAAAAATGTATTCTTTTTTATCATGAACTTGTTAAAACATTGGTATTTTGAGCCCTCCAGTTACATGGAGAATTCTATTGTTCAATTATTTTTTGTTATATTAAAGTTAGTTAAGTTATATAAAGTTTCAAAAGATACAAGCATTTAAAGTGAATGCAATTCTAATACTTACAGTATTACATTAATAAGTATTAAGTAACCTTAATTTCGAAATATATATTAGTTGCTATGGTTTGGTTCATCCAACACTCAGTGAATATTATAATCTATAATATGTATCCAAAAAAGTAATTTCACATAATAACTTAATGGAAGCCAACTTAGATTATTATAACAAGTAATATTGTGAAATTTTCTGTTTGTTCTGCAGCCAATTTACTCAGGAAACACAACAAATGGATGCAACAGCAAAAGTAGATCCCCAACATCATCACGGAAGTGCTTCCCAGTATATCTTGGCGACAGTTCCAGCACCATGGGTGCAGGCTCTTCTATTATGCAGAGGTAAACTATGTATTTTCATTACAAGTGTGAATTGCCAATAATGAGCATGATGATGTCTTACCATGTTCATATATGGACATAATGATGCTATACCATTCCCATATGGATATAATTCAAACATAAGCCAATACAGTATATAGGCAAAACATCAAAAAAAGTCTTAATGTGACTGTAGTGTCCCTATAACTATTTTCATATATTTGAAGATCATGCAACCAGTTACGCTGCACCTCCTGTGATTTTAAAGTTGTATTTTATGATGATTACATCTGGCATAGCACCTGCGATTATCTGTTCTTGAGAAATAATGTTCCAGATTTTCAAAAACTGAAAGCCAAACTCAAAAAACAGAAAGGTGAGTGGTAGAAATATTATTAATTCTAACATTTAACAAGCACATTGCAAAGTGTGTCAGGGCATGAGTAGTTGGTTTGATTTGATGTTAATTTATTTGGTAAATACAAATTTTATGTAGTGTAGTTAAAAAAAAAAAGTACAAAGAATTTTTTTAATTTATAAATCAAAAATCTTTGAGAGCTTTAAATTTCCAGCTGTCAATCGTAAGGTCAGGGGTTGACATTGTAAATATGACATCAAAAGGTCAGGGGTTGACATTATAAATATGACATCATTCATTAAATTTTCTTCTTTTTTTTTTGTAGGATCCAGAGCGTATGCATGTCAATGTGCGTGGAGATCAATAAAGAGTCTAGTAGATATAAATACTGACCATGATTTGCATTGGGTGTGTGGGAAGCACAGTACATAACCAAATGACAAGTAATATTGACTGGGAGCTTTCGAAACGAGAGCGCAGAACTAATTCACTCATCCCTGACTGGCTTAGCATGCATTATAGTGTAAAATCAATTTTATTTTTTGATGCCTGTGCAAATATGCAAAGACGGATGCACCAATGTTTAATAAAATGCCGTCCTCATTCCAGAGCTGAACGTAGATTCAGCCTACAACTGTTCCAGATTTCAGTAGAAAACGTAACGCACAACGTTAAGACATGCACATTTGAATTGACATGGCATCATTACATTCTAAGTCGTCGCAAATAAAAAAATTTCTAATGATGACCCTCAAAAATAGGATAGATGATATCACAAGCTCTGGTTCTGTCCAAACTATTTAATTTTCACATATGTCACATAGTCTAAAAAGAGCTTAAGACAAGGAATAACTTCATCAACATTCCCCTGCAATTCTTCCTGCCACTATATTTAGATGAGTCAATGTTTTTGTTAAACTGTATATATTTTTTTATCATAAAAGTTTTCATTCAGAGCTAGTGTGCTTGATGCTGCTCTCACCGTCCAAGTCTTTTGAAAATTTTTCAAATTTTCAGGTCTGAAATTGTTTTCATCATTTTTTAAAAAAGCAATTGGTAGTTGAGATTTCAAATACTGATCGTATAAAATGAAAACCATGAAATTTAATGTAATCGTATTACAGATTTTTTAAATATATAGGTACATAAACTTAATAAACAATCAAATTCATAAATAGGTATGATAAATAAGATAAAAATAATTTGTTACTGTTGTTTTTTTTTGTGACATTTATGAAAGGACATTTGTTTAACTTGTAGATGTAGGTTTAAAATATTTATCAACTTGAGAATTTGGCAATGATTCAATATCAGATGTTCCACCTTAACACTTTTCTAACATAATAATATTATTACTATTATTATTATTAAATATTATTATTATTAAATATTATTTTATGAACTTTATGTAACTATATTTAAAAAACTTTTATATGTGATAACCAAAAAATTGAAGATTTAATGAAAGATTTTTACTATGGGGCTCTACTTAATTTTTACATTATATAATTTTGACTAAGTAACCGCATTAAGACCAGTAGTTGCGGCATACTCACATAGAATTGTTTTTCCTATTGTTAATATACATGAATTTGAATGGTGTATGAAAACCACCTCCCCCAGTTAAACATTCAGATTTAAATGTGAGGTAACAAATAATAGTATGGCACTTAAAAGGTTGTCACTTTAATAGGTCTTTAGAGTGTACTGTACTTAATTAAACTAACGAAGTTTATGTTATTTTTTTAATACTTATTTTATGTTGTATGTTAAGTACATTTGATCACCTAATACTTAATAGTGGTATCCATGCAAATGTACAAGTTTCACAGTTATATAGTAGTATATTTGCATTATGTTTTTATTTTTATTATTGTTAATATAATTTTATTATTATTCTCCATGTCAGCCAATGTATTAACCCCTTATTATTAATTATTCACATAATTATATCATGGAACTATTAATAAGGTCCATGATTATATTTTCGCACTAGCAATCTCCAAATAAGTAATAATTGCGTACTTTGACATACCATATGTATTGTAAAATTCCATTACCTTTGCTAACTAGCATTCCAAGTAAGATAACTGAGTGTACTGTAAGTCACAACTTGAATGTTAATAAAGTGTGCTACATAGTAAGCCAAACTATATAAAAGTTATTATAACAATAGTAAGAAAAGTATCAACTAATATTATTAATATTGCTATTCCTATTGTTACTCTAACCCAACCATGATTAATGATATTTTATTTTAGATAGTAATTGTTATAGAAAGTGAATAACAGAATCATACTATATGTTGTACTCATAGTTATGTATCTTGCAATGACAATTTTCATGAAGCCCAATTTATAATTCTTCATGGCAAAGAAATGTATGCATTGATTTTATATAGAAAATGTTTGCATTTAATATCTAGCACTATTAATAATAAGAATACCACATCATTCTGATCTCATAGCATATCATTGCCAAATTATAGGTTTGCTATTATACTGCAATATTATTGCACAATATTAATAAACTGTATGTAATATTAATTATAAGATTTTTTTTTAATTATGCAATATGCACTGTCTATCACCTTGAGCTTAAATAAATGGAGGGTAGCACCTCAAAATGTAAACTATAAGTTGTCAGTTAGTCTGCTGTTTTAAGCACTGTCTCTATCAAATTTTCTTTGACAAAAAACTGTTGTTTGCCCATATATAGTCATGATGTGCCTATGTGCCTACTGTTGTCATGATGTGATGTATCATGACCGTAATCTAGGCATGCCATATTTTTTGTCAAAATGTGATAATCTACCCAGGACTTTTTCGAAGACATGTTGAATTACAGTATATCAACTGAAATTGTCTTATGTCTGAAGGTTTAATGGGGTCCCTCCTTTAACTGGTCCTCCTTTTAGTTGAACACAACCAAGTAGCCATTTACACAGATCGCTCTCTACACCTTCCTTTTGCATGTGGTCTTCATCTCTATTAATTCTCTATCAAGTCGGACGAGGTCGAGAAACGAAAACTATTAATTATAAGGAAAAATACCAAACATGAACGCAGTGCCGGATTAAGCATCGTCTGGCCTCAAGGCACATTTTGGAAATGGCCCAAAAATACTAATTGAATGGACCCATGGTAATAATTACGAGTTTTCTGCCCTAGTAATACCGGAAAATAGAGTGTAAATAATATTGCAGTCCAAATTTTGATGGCCCATCATTTTCGCCTGGCCCACAAGGCTTGTGCCTTATTTGCCTAATGGTTAATCCGGCACTGAGAACGGGGTGTTAGAGAGATGAATACCAGAAAATGACCGGGGAAGGGAGTGAGAAATGGACAATCGTGATGGTGAGATAGTAGCGTAGGCCTCTAGACGATTCTGGTGTTTGGCGTTTTCTATTGTTGTATAAAAGTAATATCTATACAGTTTATTAAGACCGGATTTTACTGATAGAGCGGATTTCATTCACTAAAGACCAGATTGTATTCCTAAGCGGATTTTATTCATAGAGATTATTGGTTTTATTCAAGTAGATTTTATTCTACAGACACCAGATTCACAGAAAGAAAAGATTTTATTCGTTTTCTTCATTAAAACTAGATTGTATTAATAGAGAGTAACTTATAAATATAAACACTATATATTAAAGAAACGTAAGATTAGAAAATTGAAGTTTAAACAAACGAGAATCGAAGATAAAACAAACCTGTTTTTAATCTAATTTTATTAACTTAATCAAAAAGTAAATATGTAAATATATACAGTACAGTATTCTAAAAATAAATTCTGAAGTTTAGAATTCCACTGCTAAAGTTACCATACATACAAGTTAAAATGGCGTCCGGTCCCTTATGGAATATGATTCTGTATACACAATATATTGTATACGGTACAATACGTAATAGCCAGCGAGTTTAAGTTTACAGAGGGATTAACAAATTGTTCAGTGTGCCTTCCTGTTTTTGTTTAAAGCATTATGTGATGAAGAAGCCAATTCTGTTGTCAATGTTTAAAAGAATACCTATCTATCTTATGCACTCTTAACTAAATTGAAGTATATTTCATACATTATTTACTTTTTACTCATCAATTATTAAGTGATTCTGTCCATTTCGGTCATTTTATATAATAACTATAACAAACTCAAGGCCTAAGACAATGGGGCATAGAAAATATACCCTGATTTATATTTCGAAAATTACACATTTTCAGAATAACCTGTATTTATTTAGGGGTGTAAGCTATGATGTAAACTGATTCCGCACTTTCACCCCGGTCCCTTTCGCAAATCTGCAAATCCGGGTGATTTTTTTTCGAGCGGCGATACGTTTTGTTTTAACAAAACCAATAATTCTAACGAAAATCATATAAATAGAATAAATTACGATTTGCAATGATCAGACCTCATGAAAATTATATAAAACCTCTCGTCATACGATGTTGCAAATCCATATTGAACAAGAAGAAATAAAATCGTCGTGGGTGTGGTCATGAGGCATACGTGGTATTGGTGTGGCCCTGAAATAAAGAAAGAAAAAACAAGGTTAGTTTAACAACTAATGTTATAATAATTTTAGAAATGCTTGAATCATTTTCTTTTTACTCTGGTACATATAATTCAATGAAACATTATTCCGAAATCTAAGTTTTCTAGGGCTTGCATACGTTTACGTAGAATCGCGTTTAATTGCTTATGCGGTTTCATCAAAACAATGGCAGAAGAAGAGCCCAGCACTGAGGGGCGAAATCATGATAGGACGTCATGAGCAAACAAAGCTGGAAGCCACAGAAAAAGTATAGGGGTTAAGTTAAGAAATATTGTATATACATTACCACAAGAACTGCTTTGAATTGTCCTTGTGTTCCGTCGCCCGACGATCTCATACTTCGTACGGACTGAATGTCTAGGTTATCGCCGTGTTTTTTGTGGACTGATATGAAACGGTAAGGGTTGTGCGCCGATTCAAATTTGACGAAATGACCATCCACCGAGTGAACTTTAAACCGACATTTAGGATCTCCCTTACCCTATTAAAAGAGCACAAAAATTATAATTAGCATCACTTGCTCAAACTATGATGACACAGTATTAATCATGGCTTAATGGTCTGAAAATTCGGAGATTATGTTCCATCATTCACCATATAATTGCTACCATCATTCTCCTTTAGTCACGCAAAACACCACATTATCGTCATTTTATCATCATCATCGCCGTCGTCACCATTCCACTCCCTTCCTAGTCATCTCCAATACCACATCATCGTCATTTTATCATCTTTGTCGTCATCATCATCACCACCACCACCACAATCATCTCTCATCATCATCCCACTAACATCATCCTTGTCATTGCCATAGTGGTTGCCTATTCAACATCAGCAAAAAAGCACTGCTGCAGTGTTGGTAAGAATGATCAGTATCACCACAAATATTATCCACATTATCGTCTGATTATCGTCTGTATCTGTTTAGGTTTGTTGTCATCACATAATTTAGGCCTGATATTGTTAAAGTACTTACATCAGCATATAGTGTCCCATTCCGTAGAACCAAAATGTGAAGAGAATTTGCAACAGATCTTAGAGTTACAAGGTCGTCAAACCTGTGTACAATGAACTGAGCTGTAAAGATGAAAACGAGATATAAGGTACGGAAATCAAAATTAAGGAAAACTGGTGATGCCAATCTTAAGTAGGCCTACAGCCGTACCGAAAATGATTGATAAAAATGTAAAATAATGTATTTCCGTACCATCGTCCTATTCAATATGGTAGCAACATTGTTCTCTATAATGTCCGTATTAAAAAAAATACCAATGGCGTATCTACTAGGAGGCATGTGCACACATTCCCCAAAATTCCCGCAGTCGCCTTCCCTACCCCCCCCCCCATTGAAAATTTCCGAACTATAAAAAATCACGCTGAAGTGATTAAAATCACTTCATATAACCTTATTTTGCGACCTAGCGCCCCTCACTTACTCCGGTAATCATCGAACCCCACTCCATCTTCGAGCCCCCATCATCCCTCTCCAATTTCAAGACACTTAGATAGGCCTACGCCTTTGCAAAATACACAGTAAAATCTAAATCTGCAAGTCTTCGTTTTGTTGCAGTAAGTTATGAACTTTGATACGATATTTTTTTAAAATTTATTTTAGGCCTATTTTTCGTTATTATATTTTGGTGGTTTTTTCCCCTCCAATTTGAAATTGAAGTTTTTCACAATTTTTTATCTCGAATAACTGCATCTGCATGTAAAACATTACAGTACTTACATTGCTTTCCATATATTCCGTTAAAATCTATTTTTCCAGTTACGGCATTCACTCTTAAAAGTCCCCCTGTTGTTCGAGATTCGAGTTGAATTATGTTACCAGTGTGGAATTCTGTAGCCTAGCAACAACAAACAAAGATATATATTAGTTGCAAACATCGCCGCAATTTATTTCGAAAAATTCCCTTCTATGTTTACGCTGGCTTTTGAAAGGTGGAGTTTTAAAATAATACTTAGGCCTAACTGAATCGCATTCTTATTCAAAATTTAAGCTATAAATTACATGTAACACAAAAACGAATAAATTTCGTATTAATGGCCGAATGGGTCATTCATTAGGTTTAACCAATGAAAATGTGTGTTCTTTATATTTATGAACATGCTTCTTCCTTTTGATGTTTAAACATGAATAGCCTCCTCTGGTTTTTCAGGAAGACTGACGATCTGGAAGGTCGAAATAGCGGGACTCAGTGCGGACCTTTTACAAATTGAAGGTGCAGACCATCTCCACCATGGTATCGTGAGGCTGAGGTACAAGATACAAGCTCAGTCGGCTAATCTGATGGTAGCCACTGTGTGTGCGCTTGAACCGTGGAGATCTCTAGGTCCCTCATTCAATACCCATTGCTGCCTCTCCTTGTGTTTCAGCTTGAGGGCTGAAATACAAGTTACAATAGCGCACCGTCTTTCGGATGAGACGTTTAAGCCGTTGGTCCCGTGTGCATTAATGGCCCATGTGCACGTTAAAGAACGCAGTACACCCTTTGGGAAAGAGTAGGGGATTGTCTCCCGGTGTACTGCCCAATCACCACCAGAAGGACCCCATTGGAAATAAGTCTTCTTCTAAACTTTCGTGGGCTATCCTTGGTGTTTACACCGAATAAATCCAATCCAATCCAAAATGAAATTTATTGTCTCCAGTTAAAATAAACGAAGAAATTACAAAGTTCGTAAAAAGAACAATTCCAAGACAATCACATTAAAATTGGTCGAGGAAAAAAAAAAGAATCAACATCCAAAATCACAGAAAAATTTAAAATTATATAAGGCCTACAATATTTAAAGATAATGAAAAATGTTAGAAGAGAACAAAAAGGGTACGGTAACCCATTTTAAAAAGGAGAAACTACTCAAGAGGAAAAAATCATATAATTATTATTATTATTATTATTATTATTATTATTTTATTATTCTTTTATTATTATTAATAATAATTAACCACTATTTTCATCATTATTACAATTATTATTATTATTATTATTATTATTATTATTATTATTATTATTATTATTATTATTATTATTATTATCATCTATCTTTTTTTGTGTTTGCAATCGGTACTCTCATACAGAGATATACAAACATTTTTATTTATGGCTATGGCACCTCCAGATGGCCGGAAAAAGCACTCTCAGATTTCAATTTAAATGTAATTTTCTTCCCCCCCATCCCCCCCACAACTAAAAAATTTGTCAGACTTAAGGGGAATCTCGCTCTTAAATAAGCCAATACCTATCCTGCATCTACCATTATTTTAGGCATACGTACCATAACACCAACAGACTGTAGCTTGAATCCGCTGCTATGCACATACGAACCCTAAAAAAGAATGAAACACACAAAAGGCTTAGGAGCTCTTATAGCTTTTAGCTTAAACTTCACTTAAACTGGATCGAGCATGCAAAAATGTTCCATATATGAAGCTTTGACCGACTCTCCCACGACCGCGACACTCACAGTTCTCCCTAATGAGACTGATTAAATGAATTCATGCATTAGGCCTACGTGTATAATCAATGTCAAGTTTGATGAGAGCGGATAGGCCTTATGAGAAATCGATTTTGCAACCCGTTCCTACGTCTATACTCAAACAGACGGTCATGTACCGTGTCAATATTAAACTCATGTTTCTTTTAGTAACTATGACATTTGGGCTGGGCCATATTGGCGAGTTTTTTTGTGGTAGTACAATTAAGTAGCACAATACAAAACATACATTGGTAAGTGGCATTTGGCCAATCTGTCATCAAAGGGAAGAGTCCGCCTTCTAGCAAGTCATTTACAGAATTTATCAATAATTGTGATAGCTGTATTACTATATAAAAAAATAATGTTTACACAACGTAACATAAAGGCAGATAAACGAATTATATCAATGGGTATAAACGTTTTGCTAGATGCGCGTTGTCCATTATCTCTCGATGGGCCGTCATAGGATACGTTTCTTGGTAACTATAATATGCTATTTGCTTAGTAAGTAAGTAGCGCTTGTTTGCTTTCGAATACTATGGTCGCAATATCGCTATGGCAACTCTTACTGCAATTGACTTGGCAATGTGATATACTGTACCAAACTAATACATGCTTCGGAATTTAAGGTCTA